TATATATATATGCCTTTTCTTTTTCTTGCCTGATCTCCTGATTTCTCTGGCTAATGTTTCAAGAATTATATTGAACAGAAGTGATGATAGTGGACATCCTTGTCTTGTTCTTGATATGATGATGGCAGTAGGTTTTTAATAAATGGCTTTTATCATATTGAGATAAGATCCTTCTATACCTAATTTCTTCAGGGTTTTTATTGTGGCTAGATGTTGGATTTTGTGAAAGGATTTTTCTATGTCAATTGAGATGATCATGTGAATTTTGTCCTTTGCTCTCTTTATGTAATGTATTTACATTCATTGATTTTTGTATGTTGAATCATCCTTCTATCCCTGGGATGAAGCCTACTTGATCATGATGTATGATCTTTTTGATGAATTGTTGCTTTCTGCTTGCCAGTATCTTGTTGAGGATTTTTGCAACTATAGTCATTAAAGAGATTGGTTTTTGTTTTTGGAATCATGGTAATCCTACCTCCCAGGAATAACTTTGGGATTATCTCTTTCCATGCAACTTCATTAAAGAGTTTGAGAAGTATTGGCATTAGATTTTCCCTAAAGTTCTTGTGGAATTCAACAGTGAATCCCTGGGAACCTATGTTCTTTTTAGTTGTATTTAAAAAAAATTTATTGGTGCATTTTAGGTATACAAGTATGCTGATATTCATTATTGGGAGTTTGTACCTTTACATAATAAATATTTCTTGGTTCTCATTTTTTCCCCTATTCCCCAGCCCTTCAACCTCTCCACCCCTTCCTATTTACAAAGACTTTGTTTCCACTTTTTCCTTTCTTATATTTATTCCTTTCCCTTCTTTCTGTTCCCCTGCCCCTCTCACTTCCCCTTCTCCTTTGGACCTTTTCTTCCTATTTCATATTATCTATTATATATATTGACCCTTATTTACACTTTCAGTTTCTCACACGAGAGAAACTATTCGGTGTTTACACGTGTGTCCTATTTATTTCACTTAAGAGTATGGCCTCAATGTGCATCCATTTAGCTATAAATGTCTCTAGTTTCTCATTCTTTATAGCTGAGTAGTACTTCATTTTACTTTTAAAAAACCCCACATTTTCTTTATCCAATCTCCAGTTGATGGGCATTTGGTCTGTTTCCAAGCTTTAGCTATTACAAACTGTGCCACTATGAATATGCGTGCACATATATTGCTGTGGTATGACTCTTTTTAATTCTTTTGGGAAGATACCCAGCAGGGGAATAGCTAGGACCTCTAATCCTAGTTTTTTGAGGTATGTCCATGCTGATTTCCACAGTGGTTGCACCAGTCTACACTCCCATGAACAGTGGAGAAGGGTTCTTTTTTCTCCACAGCCCCACCAAAACCATATGATCATCTCAGTAGATGCAAAAAAGTGTTCGACAAAATCCAACACCCATTCATGATAAAAACCCTACAGAAAGTTGGAATAGACCATCTCTATCTCAACCTGATAAAAACCATCTATGAAAAACCAACAGCCAAAATCATACTAAATGGTCAAACACTGAAATATTTTATGATAAAATCAGCAACAAGACAAGGATGTCCACTATCACCACTCCTGTTCAATATAGTTTTGGAAACATTAGCCATGAGAAAGAAATAAAAGGAATACAGATAAGAAATGAAGAAATCAAGTTGATATATTTTTATTACTTCTTCAGTTTTGTTGCCTGTTACTGGATTGTTTAGGGTTTTTATATTTTCTTGATTCAGTTTTGGTAATTCATATGTATGTAGGAATCTATCCATTTCCTCTGAATTCTCCAATTTATTTGATTACAGGCTCTCAAAGTAGTTACTACCATGCCTATCTCCCATGAGGTTGCTCCGCCCCTCGAGTTGGTGGTGTCTTGCATCTACTCATGTAAACTGTCCCTGGGCAGGGCTGGTTTATGCATAGAGAGGGTAACGGCCATGATGCAGCTGAGGCCACAGGTGGCAGCCGTCATACTGACTTCCAGATGGTCTCCTCAAGTGTCTGGTTTGGCCAATGCCCTCCTTGTCCAGAAGCAGGCAGCCTTGTGGCCCCTGAGAAGCTAGCAGAAGGTGCTTCCTCACCAGCCAGGCCCTCATGCTGACCTTGCAAATTCAGCCAATGCTTTGAGCCCAAAATGGGAATGTTGGTTTTGTGTCCAAGGCTTGTTCCAAGTTTGTCAGCAAGGTTTAGAGGACCTCAAGAACAGATGCCATCTGCCTGAATGTTGACATGCCAGTGGGTGTGAATCCTTTTTTCATTTTTCCTTTTCCCTTCCCTTTGGACAGTGTTACAATGAACACTTTAGCATTCTGTTTTTGGTTGATAGTTGAGCAAACTGACATTACAGAAAGTGCCTTAGACACTATAGTACTAAGACAATGTTAAATATATCATTTGCCTCTATAACAATTTAATGTATTAAGTTTTGACTATGCTTCATATCATGTACCTCTTTAGTCAAAGTGGTATCATAAACATTCAGTGACAACAAATCAGTGTTAATGATAAATCCCTGATCCTCTGCAATGTTCTTGAAAACACAAACCTGTTGGGTTAAAAGTTTTAACATCTGTTAGGAAGAATTTGTTACGTGGGTTTGGAATCTCTGATTTCTCTCTGTATGAATTATACTGGCTGTTGACCACCAGACATCTGACCGCAAATATCTTTCCTTATATTCCCATATTTCTAGACAATGATTTTTGTAAGACAATAAATTTATTCATTATAAATAAAAAAGCAGTGTTGATTTTGATTTCATTTTTCATTTCTAATTGCATTGTTTTGGTTCTTTTTTAATATTAGATAGATGTTTGTGTATTTTATTTATTTTTTTAAAGAACTAGCTATTCAATTCATCAATTCTTTATATTTTTTAGTCTCAATTTCATTGATTTCTGCTCTGATCTTAATAATTTTCTTCCTTGTACTAACTTTAGATTTAGATTGTTCTTATTTTTCTAGGACCTTGAAGTGCATCACATCATTTGTTTGGGATTACTCTTTTTCTGATGTGAACATTCACAGCTATAAATGTCCTCTTAGGACTGCTTCCAAGGTTTTCTATAGGTTCTGGTATGTTATACTGGCATTTTTGTTTAATTCTAGGAACTGTCTATAATTTCTTCTATGACCCACTGATTATTCATGAGGATATTGGTTAATTATCGTACATTTGCATAAATCCTGTGGTTTCTTTTCCCTTTGATTTCTAGTTTCATTGAACTTTATACTGATATTATGCATGGGATAAGTTTGATTCTTTTGCATTTCGTAAGCATGCTTTCTGTTCCTATTTTGGAGAATGTCTCACGTGTTGCTGAAAAAACTGTACTCTGTTGTTGGATGCACCACTGTAGATAATTAAGTTTATTTGTTTGAAGGTTTGGTTCAATTCTGGTATTTGTTTGTTAGTGCTTTGTCTGGTTGGTTTGTCTATTTGTGGCAATGGAGTATTGGGGTCTCCCAGTATAATTGTGTTGAAATTTTATCTGATCTTTCATGTCCAGTACTATTTGTTTTATGATGATGGGTGTGCCATTGTTTATTGTACATATGTTTATAATTGTTATTTCTTCCTGTTGAATTTTTCCCTTAACAAATGTCTAGTGATCTTCTTCACCTCTTTTGAGCAGTTTTGGCCTGAAATCCACTTTGTTGGAAATTACAATAACTACTCCTCCATTTTTCTAGATTCTGGTTGCATGGAATATTATTTTTCATCCCTTTGATTTTTAATTTATGATTTTTTTTATTAAATGTTTCTTTTATACAGGATATTATTAGATTTTATTTCTTGGCCCATTTCACACAAATCTCTGTCTTTGGATTGGGGAATTGCAACCATTCACATCAAGAGTTATTACTGAAAGGTATTGACTATTCATGTCATTATTTTCCTGTGCTGTTCCGCCCTCCCCCCTTTTTGCTTAAGCATTTAGCCTGATTGGTTATTCATTCTGTTATACTTTTTTTGTCATTATTGGCTTCATTGTCTTTTTTTTTTGGATATTCTTGAGAATTTTTTCTAATGTAGGTTTCATGGTCATGAATTTCTCTAGGTGTTCATAGAAATGTCTTATTTTTTCATCAATTTTGAAATATAGTTTTGCAGGATATATAAGTCTGAGTTGGAAGTTTTCTTTTCAGGCTTATAACATTTCACTCCAAGATCTCTTGGCCCTTAAAGTCTGTGTTGAGTAGTCTGCTGTAACTCTAACGGATTTACCTTTATTAGTGATTTGTTGTTTTTCAGTGACAGCTTTAAAGATTCTGTCCTTTTTGGACTTTTGGTATTTTGACTGTATTTTTTCATGGGGAGGGTTTTTTTAAATCATGCCTATTTGGATTTCTGTATGTTTCTCTTATCTGTGTGTTTAATTTTCCCCAAATATTTAGAAAGTTTTCCTCTATTATTTTTGTAAATAGGTTTTGTTAATGCCCCTTGTTTGACAGGCTTCAAATGAATGCTTTTCGTGCTTTGAGGAAATAGTTACAAGGAGATTCATCATACTAAAAAATAAACAGAGAACAATGTATCTGGCTGGTGTGGATTTTTAAAAATCATCTTTTTATCTCTTTTCTAAATTTTCTATAATGAGCATGTATTAATTTGTGTAAGTATATGTTAATATTTGTTCTAACTTACAGAATTTTCAACTAAATTGTTTTTCCACAGAGAGAAGTTGCAGCCAGTAGCCAGAATGGAGAGGAAATTGTTCCTGCTTTAACTTTACGTTTTTTGATAACGCAACTGGAAACAGCTCTTAGAAACATTCAAGCTACTAATTATACTGTAGGTGTTTTCTCTTTGAAAGTTTAAAATAATGGACCTGTGTAGCATTTTTCAATGAGAGAACACAAATGCATGCTTATTTTGAGGTGTATGCCAATTTTTGCATTTCCTTTTTATCTCTAAAGAAAGATACATATAAATTTATTGCCTTATAGTTTTTAAATTTTATATGACAGCATGTTTATAATGAGCCTATTCTAGTCCCCTTGCTTACCAGATTTTTTTCTCATAAGAGAAACTTGAATTAATAGAAATGGATTTTTTGACTTAAAATAGAGATTCATGAACTTCAAAAAATAAGCCATGCACAGAAAGACAGATACTGCATAACAGTATCTAAAAGTATTGAATTCCTACAAGTGAAATATAGACTGGTGGTCACAAAGACTGAGGGTAGAGAGAGGGTAAGGAGATGTTAATAAGTAGTGGTGTGAGTATACAACCAGTAACAGTCTTGGCTTCAGAGTCTAGCCTCTGCACTATGACATCATACTGCCTCTGCACATATGGGAATAGTAAAGTGGAAACCAGTTAGATATTACAGGGAGTTTTTAATCTGTAAACTTACTTAGTCCACTGAGAAAAAAACATGCATCTATCCAAACTGGAGTTTGAAGCCAGACTTCTAACTCTATAGTCAGTTGTCTCAGAAATATACACTATTGGTCATAAGAAGTATTCTCCATGAAAGAATACAGTTAGAGAGCCAGGGATTTAGCTCAGTGGCACTGCACAAGGTCCTGAGTTTGATCCTAGTACCCCCTCCAAAGAATACAGTTAGATGAATACAGATAGAAAGCTTATATCCTAAGGATGTTTATCATCCTTATGTATTTGGAAAAATCTTGCTTATGATATTAACCTCAGTGAAAAAAGTCATATGACAAAATATGGTTATAATCTTCAGTTAGTATAGAATTGAAGAGCAAAGAAAGTTAGATTCTCCAGAGAAACAGAATCTCAGAGAAAAAAAATATAAATAATATGATCTAACTTATTATGAGAGATATGCAGATATGATTTATCATGAGGAATTGGGTCATGTGATTATGGAGGTTAAGCCTCATGATCTGGTGTCTGCAAACAGGTAAACCAGAAAAGCTGGTAATATAGTTCCACCCATTATGAAGGCCTAAGAACCTGGGGAAACCCATGACATGAATCCCAGTCTGAGGGCAGAAGATGTGTCCCATCTTGAGCAGGGAGGCAGGCAGCAAAAATAGCAAATTCTTCCTTTGCATTTTGTTGTATTCAGGCCATCAATGAATTGGAAAATGCCCAGCCATGTTCAGGAGGCCAATCAACTATTCAGAGTCCACCAGTTCAAACACTGATATCTCTGAACACACTCTCATAGACACACTCAGAAAAAATGTTTAATCTGGGAACTTTGTGACCAGTTGACTCATAAAAACAACCATCACAAATAGAAAATATTTTTCTCCATAGGCATTTAAAAAATTTTTCATTTTGAGATAATTATAGATTTATAGAAATTGCAGCTGTGTTGTACAAAAGTATAGACGTCTCTGTGTACTCCTCACCCAGTTCTCTTCAATAGTTACATCTTATATGCTATAGTACATTATTAAAACCAAGAAATTGACATTGTTACTATGGATGTTATATCCAGGGCTTCTAAGAGTAGTACCCTAATGGACTTTCAGAGATTTGCTAGAAGGATAGGGCAATCATGACCAAAACATTACAGTAACAAAGACATGTGGCAGATCACAAGGGGAAAATCCAGATGGAATCTCAAAGAATCCATTTGCAGGTTTCCTTATGTTTTCTTGAGTCCTTCAAGAGCAACAGAATAAACTCCCTTAGCTCCCATCCCCAGCAAGAGAAATGTAGCAACATGTGTGATTTTTCTGTCAAAGATGGCACATTAGACACTTGGGTTCCAAATATTTATTAGAGGCGAGCTATTTAGAGTACCTTCTGGCTGCTTTGTGCCAAAATTTCAGATTTCTAATAGAATTTCCCAGGTGTTCAACATAAATTGTGCTGTCTGTACAGTAGCATAGTGAACCAGCTTCATTGGTTAGTTAATAGTGAGAACATCACTGAAATCCAAATTCCCAGATACCTTTGTAGTCACACCAAACTCTTCCTGTCCCTCCTCACCTTTCTTAATCTTTAATCTGTTTTCATCTCTGTAATTTTGCACACCTTATACTTAAGTGAAGAAAATAGCCACACATTTTATTTTATTTTTTTTCCTTTAATTATTTTATTGGTACATTTTAGGTATACAATACATTTACATTCCTCATTGGGAACTTGTACCTTTACATGATGCATCTTGGTTCTTATTTTTTCCCCATTCCCAGCCCTCCCTTCACCTCCTCCACCCTTCCCTAGCCACACATTTTAATTTTTCATTGTAGAAGTGTTAAGCTTTATGTTTATATGGTTGTAACAAAATCCACATGGAAAGAGTAATAGACTATAACAGATCATTACATTTTTAAAGGTAGGTTGTAGATATTTTTCTGTTCATTATTGCCTAAAGTGTTCCTCAGACCTAAAATACTATATAATGAGACAAAGAATTTTTAAAAGGTTTAATGTAACAAAATGTTGATGGCAGTTGCTTTCATTTTCTTTCACCAAATTCCTCATCTTGGATCAAATTATCAAATACATAATATTCTTTACAGTAAATATTAAATGATTGGTAATATAATGATAATTTTTACTATCTTTAATAATTATTAAATGGGCCTAGTATATTTAATTAAGCTTATTATACCAAAAAGTAGCTCATTTTAAATATATCTAACATATTCTTTTTTTTGTAGGCATACCAAATTGATATTGGTTATTACTTAACATTACTGTTTTTATATGGAGTATCACTTACAGAAAGAGGGAAGAAAGAAGTACGTATGCAACTTGTGGTTTTTTTGCCCATTATAAATCTGTACACTTACATTGACTTCATGTTAGCAAATTAAAATGTTGATTTAAAAAAAACTTTTCTAGAACATTGAAACCAGCTATGAACTTTTCTGTCATTATTTATAATGTAATTATGTCAAAGATTATATTGTTAAACTAAGAATACATAGGACGTTCTTGATGTTAGCTTATAGATTCAGTTATTTTAAACCTATCTGTATTCATGTCCTAAGTGCCTATCATTTGCGTAAAATAGAAAATGAGTTAGAAAACAATTTTTTATTTATGTAGTGTATTTTAATTCATTTCTTGGTGTAGATTAATTTCTCTGGTCTTAATCTTAACTTTTTCCAAAATATGAGTAATACCTTATTTTTTTCAAATAAAGTGAGATGCAAATAAAAATCTGGTAAAAAGTTTCTAAAGTTTCTTTCAATTTTAGCATTTTAATTTTTTTTCTGATTTTCTTTGCAGGTAATATTTCTTTACTTTTTCTGTTTCCAAATCTATACTCTTTACTTGGTTTCATAAATTAAGCATGTAATTATGACTTGTTAACTAAATAGAGTTTTAAGCACTGAAACTGAAAACATTTCTATTTTAAATAATTTCATGCAATACAAATTATTATTTAATGTGATGTACTTGAAAATATTTTAAAACAAGGTCATATAGATTTAAATTTTTTTCCAGAGAAACCAATGCCATCATTCCTATTTTATTAATTGTGACTGAAGCAACTTTTACAATTGATACGGATTTTTACCTCTCCTTCCCCCAAAGAGACTGTCTAGAGTAAGAAGCCATTACTTAGCTGCGGTCAGTGGTACACACTTGTAATGCAAGGACTCTGGAAGACTGAGGCAAGAGGAACTTAACTTTAAGCCAAGCCTTGGAAATTTACCAACTTAATGAGACCCCGTCTCCAAATTTAAAAAAGTACTGGGGATGTAGCTCTGTGTGAAGGCCCTGGATTCAATCTCTAATGCCAGATTTTTTTAAAAAGCCACTTGTTTCCTACTTGAAAAATTAAGAAGACTTGTGCTGCAATTAGAAAAAATTACAAAGAATTACAAAGAATTGTGCTCCAATCGTTATCAGGAACCCATCTTTAACAAAAGCCCAAAGTAATATTTGTCTCTTTTATATATAAAATATTACATATTTTTTCACTTTGAATGCTGATATTGTACATTTGTTTATAAATGAATATTTTAGGCACTAAGTAGATTATGTAATCACATAGAGGGATGCTAAGATTAGAGATGTGGAAAATGACTGGATGAATATATCACTCTTAAAGTTGCCCTAATTTCTCCAGTTTGGGAAATAATTTTTTACGTTAAAGAAAGAAATATATTTCACATCAGCCAAACCTGGTTTATGTTATTACAGGATTATACAGAAGCTGAGAATAAATTTCTGGTGATGAAGATGGTGATCCAAGAAAATGAAATTTGTGAAAATTTTATGTCTTTAGTCTATTTTGGACGTGGTTTACTCCGATGTGCTCAAAAGAGGTAAGGATTTCAATTAATAGACAGATCTTAACTGTCAACTTTCAGGATTGTAAAATAAGAATAAAATTTGACAATATACAAAGGATCATGATATTCACGCTCTCAGACTGTTTTAATCTTCATTATCTTTAAAGTACTTGAAAATATTAAATAAGCAGATGTAACAGACCATGGCAATAAGAGGTAGCCTAGCATTGATATTATGAACATAGGCTCTGGATTCTGATTGACCTGGATCCAAATACATTTTCTTCCACTTAGCCTACAAAAATTAATGTTGTTAACCTTTATGTTTTTGATCTCTAAAATGGAACTAATAATAGTGTCCATCTCATAAGGATATTATAGGTGATTAACAGTGACTGGGATACAAAATATGTAGTACTTAATAAATGAATGATGGTTGTGATTTTTAATATTATCACCAGTGTCTTAAAATAGTTTTTTAAAGTAAAAGTTTTCTTATAAAGAGTTGAAAGGGTCTAAATCCTGAGTTTGAAGAATATTGGTTATTTTGTATTTTAAGAAAGTGAAATTGTATAGAAGAACCTATACAGATTATCTACTTACTTCCTAAATGAAGATCCTTAGCCTTTATAGCATCATTCATTCATTTGATTTACTAAACAGCTATCATAGTCCAGAAACTGTGCTAGGTTATGGGGAGTAGTTCTTATCCCCATGTAGCAGACAGTAGATGAAGGATATAGACTTTAATAAAAATAATCATTTATAAAATACTCAATTATGAAATGTGATAAATGCTAAAGATCTATGAGGGAAAATACAGTGAATAACACAAGCCTTTATTAGAGCTCCAGCCTGGTTTTAAGAATCAGAAATCTCCCTCAGAAAATACTGGTTTAGTGAGATTTGTGGGATGAATTAGAGTTTATTTGAGGAAACCCCTGTGAACTATGATTGCTGGGCCAAATCATTCCTAAAAGTGTCACCTGCATGATGGTTTTTGATTCTGTTTTTTTTATCTCCTAACTCTGTGGCATGCCTATTTTTTACTAGGATATGTAAGACTTCCCATTTCCCATTTGCTAGGTCTGATTAGCATGATCCCATCAGTTTAGTGGGCTAATGTTATGCTTTGCAAAATGCAAGATAATGAAAATCTCTTCAGTCTATATTGTGACAGAGTAGGAGAATTAACATCACATGAGACAAGACAAAGAATGTGTACTGCTGTCCTTCCTTCAGATATGCAAACTACGTTTTAGCCTCTTTACTTAAGGCCATTAAGAAGAATTCATTTTCGAGATCATTGACACTAGAAAACCCAGTTGTATGGTAGTATCATTTCTTTCATCTATGGCCTCTGGAGGACAACCCACTACTGAGATTATCAAAGGCGGTGGTGCCCTTCTTTTTCTGTATTTCTTATTGTACTGACAAATGAAGTATCCTGTGAGCCTTCCCAGGAATGCTGTCTACATTGTCTGTCATAGCGATGTCTGTGTTGTTTGTTTGTTCTTTGTGGTCCTGGGGATTGAACCCTGGGCCTCATGCATGCTAGCCCTTTGCTCTTACTACTGAACCACATCTACAGCCCAGTTTCTATGTTCTTATGTAGTAAGTCTATGCTAACATTCTTATCTTTGTGAGTTTTCTGACTCATTTTTACTCTACAAAGAAATGTCCAGCATTTCTACCCCACTTACTATAGGCCAATATTGTATCCAAATTTTTAGGAACCTTTTCTGGAGCCAAGTTTTTAGGAGTATTTTCAGACTGGTTTCATAGGTCCTTGCTAGGAAAGTATACCCTGAATTCTGTAAGTTGTTCCCTGTTAGTATATACTTCACATCCAGCCTTGTCTTTGCCCATTCATTTACACTTTTAATAGTCTCATGCATGTTTCTGCCTGTATGTACTAGTAGATTCTGCAGTTCTTATGGTAAACAATTTTCTTTTTCTGGGCAGGGATTCTGTTTTCCTACTTGAGCCTTTTTTACCTGACCTTAGCCATACTGTTCTGAAGGCAATAACTGGGGAGAGAGGAAGATGAGGAGGAGGAAAGGCAAGGTCTTTTGAGATATGCATCTCTGATGATATTTTTGCATGGTCTCTACTTAATGACAGGCAGCTCTTCTGCAGCAAACAAGAGGTCTTTGCCAGGAACATGGTTTAGGAAGAGTTTAAACACTCTGTGTTTAAACTACTTTCACTTAAATATCCTCATTTTACCTCTATGGGTCTACTCATTACTATCAAAGCCCTGATTATAGCATAGTAGTCCTGTTGAGACTGTACATTTGGTTTCCTTTCAGTTGTTCTACACTTATGACTAAATCCTGGGCTTTTATTCAGCATATGTTGTCCTTATGTCTGGAGGAGGTGAGGATTCTTTAAATGTCACAAAGATGACTTCTAGCTCTTGTACTGACAGTAACAGTCTGAGTCTATAGTAAGTTTGTGGAGGCTATATATTTGCTCTCATTTGTAAATTGCTCCACTTTATGATTACATCTATCCCTTATTTTCAGCACAGTTTATTTTTATGAATATAGAAGATGAGAGTCTCTTTAAATGCTGCCATACAGACCTTCTGGTTTTCATAGTGTGTCCTGAATTAATAGTTGGCTGACATGTGCCTATCATTCTCTTTCTTCAAGGCCTCCAAGACAGTTAACAAAAGTCAACCAACTCTACCATTCCTTTAATTATTATGGCCCCCATACTGTTCAAGCTTGAACTACTACATAATCTATTGCCTCCCCTCCACCTGTATTTCATCCCAATCTACCACAGGTGAGAGTCCTAGTATTTATATTTGTATAGCATGCCAGAGGTTATCACCACTCTACTTTCCACAAAAAAGGGTTACTTTTTACTTCATTAGTAAACTATACAGTACTAGAGTACCCCTCAGACTCACCTTATTTTAAAATGCCTTACAGGTATAATGGAGGACTGCTAGAATTTCATAAAAGCTTACAAGAAATAGGAGATATAAATGATCGTTGGTTTGACATAGATCCTACAGAAGATGAAGATTTACCAACAACTTTTAAAGTAAGAAATATTTCATCTGTGACTAATCAGAATCATCTTTGATAAAGTATTATTTAAACCAACTACATGATATTCTATAGGAAGCACATTCTTTTGTTGTAAATTAGCTTTTCATAGAATGAAACTTGAGCTTTTATTGCCTAGTGTGCAATGTGTGATTCAGCAAGTAAAAGTGTGGTAGTCAGCATAACAAGACTGCTATCCATACTAGTCTAGTGACATGGTTAGAGCTAAATGTAATAGTTAAATTTATTTTTTAATTATATTTACCATTATTTTGTTATTAATTTGTAAAGCGGTAAACGCTTTGTTTATAAATTTTGCCCCAAATGCCCATAGACATAAGTAAAATTTATGCATATTTGTTCAGATGGCAAAGCCATCATTAGCCTTTTTTTCTTTTATTTTCTCTTCATCTCTTTTATATTTTATTTTCTTTCCTTTCCTTTTTTTTTTTTCTTTTCTGGTATTGAATCCAGGGCATTTACACTGAGGTACAAACCAGCCTTTTTTAATTTTTTATTTTGAGACACGGTTTTGCTAAGTTGTGCAGGCTGGGGTTGAACTTTCTGTTCTCCTGCCTCAGCCTTTGAAAGTGCTGGGATTATAGACATGTGTCACCAGCCCTGGCTAACATTTTCATTTATGTCTTTCCACACAGACTTACATGTGTAAACACTCATACTTTTTATTTTTCTAAATTGGTTTAATGTTACACATTTGTATTTGTGTCCTGGAATTATATAGTATTTTTAATTACCAGTAATTAGATTATTATAGAACAATGATTTTTATATAGTACTTCATAGAACTGTACTTTAATCCAATTTTTAGAGTTGAACATTTAGTTTATCTTGAACATTGCAGTTTTTTATTCTTATAAAAAGTGATTTTTGGATATTTTTCACATCATTCCATTAAAATAAATTGGAAGAAAAGGTCCAGAGGGGAAGGGGAAATGAGAAGGGTAGGGGAAATGAAAGAAGGGTAAGGAATAAATAGGAGAATAGGAAAAAAGAGAAAGTCTTTGTAAATAGGGAAGGGTGGAGGGGTTGGAAGGGAGGGTAGGGGAATGGGAAAAAAATGAGAACCAAGATATAATCATGTAAATGTACAAATACCCAATGATGAGTGTCATCACATTGTATACCTAAAATGTACCAATAAAATTAATGAATTAAAAAAATTTGAGGGTAGAATTGTGAAGCAAGTATTCACCCACTTGTAAAGTTGCTAATAAATATTTCTATATAGCCTCTCAGATAAAATTGTACCACTTTATATTATTAAGACAATGTGAGATTTCCATTTCCCCATACCCCTCAGTGTTACATATATATATATTTTTTTGGATGTTCTTTATCTTTTGGGTAATTTTTATTCAGTTATGTAGGTCACTTTAATCTATTTAATATGAACATAACTATACTAGGTTTTTCATGGTTAATGTTTGAATGACATATCTTTTTTAAACTTTTACTTAAAAACTTCTGGATCCTTATATTTTAGCTTACTTTAAGACCAAAATTACTCCTCAAGATAAAGGGGGATATAGATCACAAAAATACAAAATTTAATTATTCTGGGCTACGACAACTCAGAATTTGTATAGTTCTCATAATTAAGCCTCAAATTATATGAAAAAATTGAGAAAACTAAAAGAGAAATAAAAAATCTCCAGTTGCAATGGAATATTTTAATATACCTCTTAGTAACAAATAGAGATTATTAGTAATATAGAGATTGTTTTTGGTACTGTCAATATATTCATATGATTTTAAACTTTGACTTACTAAAATAATAATCTTGTATTTTTTTTTTAGGTATTGAACTTCTTTACCTGTTCAAAACAGTCCCTATTTGGTCTTTTTACTCTTATTTCTCTTCTTTTTAAGATATTCTTTTCTATTACTTCAAATCTTTCAATGAATTTTTATTTTGCAAAGTAATATCTGTATGCAGTTTGCCAAAAAACATTTTAATGGACTTAAAAATTAGGTTTCTGTTCTGTTGTCTCTAATTCCCAGAGGAAACTCCTTCTAAGACTTCTAAACATCTTGCTTTGATATTTACATATTTTTCAAAAAATTGAATTGCTATTTTAAATTTTTTTTCACTTTAGGTTTTATCTTGACTTTTCACTTAATACAAACACACCTTTATGTATCTGTGTGTGTGCGGGAACACACACACACACACACACACACTTTCTTCTCATATCTTATCAGTAGTTTTAAATTCTTATCAAATTGACCTCATCCTGCAAGCTCTCTCTACTTTTTTCTTGTGTAGAATTCACAAGTGGCTCAGAATTCAAGTTTTCTTCTTTTTAGGTTTACTCTCTTGTTTTAGTGGTGCAGCTACTCCAGCAGCTTCCCATAAAAGAGTGCTTGCTTGGGATGTAAATTTTTTAGTAAATTTTAAGTGTCAAAATAATTTATCTTTGGCATACTTCATCTATATCTTGCCTGGGCATAGAATTGTAAGTTGAAAATAAGTTTTCATTTCTAAGAGTGTTTTTCTCTTATCTTCTGTCTTCCAATATTTATTATTTTGGAGAAATTTTATCTTACTATGATTTTCAAACTTTTACATGTGATTTGTTTTATATTTTACTTTCTATTTTCATTCTAAGAGTTTTAAAGGAAAATCCTTTGTGCCCCCAGTGTTCACAACTTGTTTTTTATTCTGGTATATTTTCCTGATTTGTGTGCTTACTACTTTCTTCTTTTCTTTTTTAAGTACTTATTATCCCATTTTTTGCATACTGGACTGATTGTCTACTATTATTTTTTTCATATTTTTTATATTTTTATTTTGTCCTGCCTTCTGACAGATTTTCTCAACCTTTTCTGTATGTGGCTGACATTTGTAAAATAATTTATAGAAGATTATTTGTCATATTATATACCTTTAAAATAGTTTTTAAAATCCTATTGAAAATCTAGTAGATTCTTCTAAGAATAAGTGTTGAAAATTTTGTCTAATCACTTATCTTAGACCTGATTATGTGTTTCACTTATATTTAATCAGCATTTTAAATGTGAAATTTATTCCAAGGTATAACTATTGGTATTGGAAGGGGATCAAGAGATGGAGGGAGAGTGGAAGGGGGAAGGAAAGGGGCTGAAAAACAAGAATTAAGATGTACTATGTACATATACCAACTACACAAAAGTAAGATAAACATTATGTACTGTAAACATGTACTAATAAAAATTTTTTTTAAATAAAATTAAAAAGAAAAAATGTATTTCTATACTGTACTTTTGCCTGTTACTGCTGTGAATGACATGTACCACTATAGTAGTTCAACTGTCAACATACTATCCTAGGAGCTGATTCTGATGTGTGTGTGTGTGTGTGTGTGTGTGTGTGTGTGTGTGTGTATTCAAGTAATTCTTGATAGGGACATGCCAAATGTTATGCTATAGATTAAGATAGTGAAGAAAAGTATAGTTTCAAACATATACATCTCTCCTTTCTTTATGTTTGAATCATTCAGTAAGAAATTTAATATTTCTAATTTAGAAATTTTCTATATGTTGGTTATTTTGAGTGAGGGAAATGTGTTCTATTACTGTTTTTAAAAAATGTATAAAAGTTCCTCTAAAAGAATATAGCATGGACATACCACTTGCGTTAAACATTAGAAATGTTATTGTCTTAATTTATCATTATTAATTCATGAAAATTCTTTTTACTTTTAAAATCTAGGATCTCCTCAATAGTTTTATCAAGACAACTGAAAGTAACATAATGAAACAGACCATTTGTAGTTATCTAGATTGTGAGCGATCTTGTGAAGCTGACATTTTAAAGAACACAAATTATAAGGTACTATAATTACCAATTAATTATTTTTTAATGTGATTATAAAATTAAAAGTAATTAATTTAATTATAGTGCTAATGCAATTGGAAAGTTGTTTGACTATCTCCAAGAACATAGATTCAAAAAAGTGTAGTATCTATATTCTGAGTCAATAAAAGAATGAATTGGCTTTGGTAAGGTTTTTGTAACATGTACTTCTGAACTTATAACTATTATATGTCTAATCACAGTGAAAATAATCTAAAAATTTGTTTATAGTTAGAAATATTAGAGGTTGAGAATAGTAGCATTTCACTAAGAAGATACATTGTTACTCCTCAGTATACTGTTATCTAATTGATTATTATCTCTTCTATAGGTCTTTTGTGAAGGGTGGATTAGATCAGTTTTGATTTGAGGAAATCCCATAATTAGAGTACCTTTAATAGATCTCTCTGGATCAGTCAGAATATGATTATGTGAAATCACAAGATTGAATAAGATATGACCATCAGTGCAAATTAGATCCCGCTTTATAAGATAAATGAAGTCTCAGTTGTAAGGTATAATGTGTACAGCAGACAGGAAAGGTGGAGAGAAAGAGACAGCCAAGATCTGTTCATTAGGGTAAAAAAACCTGGTAACTGGGCCTGGTGAAATGCGGTGCTCAGGGCCAGGTATTTTCTGTTTGGTTTAGGTGACCTGGTAATGTGGTCCTGAGCCTTCCTAGGAAAGATACAGGGTTCCAATCAAATAAACAGTAAGTTCCAGAAGAAAGTAGTGGGCATATAGTTTAGAGTTTTATCATCTAAGCAGAATTCCTATTAAAACGATACAGGGCTATTTTTCCCAGGATGTTTACGATAGGAAATACAAAAAAGTTCTATATCCTGACATAACACAGTAGCTCAGGTGCTATTACCAAGGGGGCAAATATGAAGTGTGTGGGTGATGAGGGACAGAGGAAATTCAAAGAATAATGGTGTGGAGTTGGGACTGGAGGAAAAGAGAAAGGTAAAAATGAAGATGAAGAGGAGTAGACCATAATTCCTTTACAAATATCACTGGTTGACTTTCTGCTATTTTGTTGTAAAATCATTGCTTCCTCTTTTTAAACTCATAATTTTTCAGTTTCTAATGTTGTAAAGTTCTTTGGCAATCTTTAAATTTTGAATACTATGCAGAACTCTTCAGTTACAGTTTTAAAAATGATTTGAGGAGACAGTATCTGTATCTACATTGCTATTTCCATTATCAATAGCTTACTTTTTCTCTCCCAAGGGTTTTTTCCAGTTAATGTGCAGTAAAAATTGCTGTATTTATTTCCACAAAATTTGTTGGAAAAAATTCAAGAATTTAAAATATCCTGGTGAAAATGATCAGGTATTATATTTGCTTTTCTTTCTTAAACTTTATTGTAGCATTTCTTTTTTTTTCTTTTGATCCTCTTCCTTTTCATTTCTTTCTAGTCACATTTTCTTTTTCTTTTCCTTTTTGCTCAGTTCTCTCTGATGCTTATCTTCCTACCATATTTATCCATCTTTATTAAACAGCTCTTTGTAGAGGTATTTCACCAGTTGCTTTACTTAATGATTTCTATGAGTCTGTTCTCCTCTCTAAATTTATCCTCAAGGATAGAAGTATTGTTGCATATATTCCTGCAAAGGATTTAGAATTAAAGAATAGCAACACACAAAAAGGATAATTACATGATTTTAAGAATTGTTTTTATTCTAGGGGTGAGAATAAGGAAAAACTTTAGTTTCCATATTTGGATTTGTTCATGTTGTATTAGTTATATACTAAATTTAGCTGTTTCCCATTAAAAGTGAAGTGAAAATCCAAAGCCCAGTTCTATATTAATTAATCTTTAGTGAGCTGATTATGATAAGTTGAATCTATATTACTTTTGGTTCTGTAAGGTTTACGTTGTGCAAACAACAGAATAACCTTATAAAGCAATTGTGATATAGCAGAAAGATCACTGGATATGGAGTTGGTAAATCTGGGCTCAAGTCCAAATTAAGTCACTTACTGATTTTATTACATTTACCTTGTAATTTAACTACTCTGAGTCTAATTTTTTCTATTCTAAAGTGAGGATAAGATAAGCTTCCTTTATAGATTCAGTGTAAGTATAAACAGATAAAACAGGTGAGCTACCATTGCAAACTGTATAAACAATCATATAAGCATTATTATTCATTTTTAAGTGATGTGCAAGTACTTTACAATTTCTTTAATTGTTGTGGCAATGAATGGTGATCATCTTTAGCAGAAAGAAGAAGTAAAAGAAATATAAGTAATTTAACCAAAGGAAATAGCAAAATCAGAACCAGAGAAAGGACTTCTCTTTTCTGGAATCCTTTGTTATTCTCTGGCATCCTCAAATATCCAATCTTCAATATTTTTAAAATATTTGCTTAATTAGTATATCTACTTAAAGTTGCTTTTTGTGTAACAGCAAATATATTTTAAACTGTAATGTAGATTCTTAAAGATTTTGAACTAGAAATGATCAGAGAAGACAGTGAAGTCATATCTATTGATATATTACCTGGACAATCTGAACAGCTAACTCAAATGTTTAGTTGTATCTTTCCATTTACCATGTAGCAACATCTGCTTCTAATTTTATATGGCTTTACTCAGATTTGTACATTAGTGAATTTTCTATTTTTTTATTGTTTTTCTATTAATAACTTTAGAGTTTTAGTGGGAAAACGTGTTTGAAGGAAGGATGCACAGGTGACATGGTAAGGATGCTACAAGGTGATGTACCTGGAATTGTTAAAATTTTGGTGAGTATCTTTTTCTTGCTTTTCTTGTTTTCCTTCACTGAAATGGTATTTTTTACTTTAAACAGATTTGGAAATGATAATAATAAAATCCTAGCCATGTATTCTTTGATGGTGATTAACTCCTCTACTCTTTCTGTTCCTATGAATTATGAAAAGTGGTCTTTAAGAAAAGGATAATTTAAAAATAAAATCACACAGAGAAACAGTTAAATTTGCCCTGAGTATACCAATGAGAAGATTATCATGAGCCAAGGATTATTATTTAGTTCTATGCCACCTAAGTTTAAAAATAATTTGAGACTTTCTGAACCTCTTTTAGTCTATAAATATCTTCCTATGAATATATCTATAGATACAGTAGCTGTTACATAGATAGTATCAAAGGCAGAAATGGTCTTATATATACTACTTTATAATAGTAAAATAATACTATTTTATAATTAATGAGATACTGTGTTGAATTTTCAAATTACAATAAACCCAACTTATAAGTAAAAATGAATTTTACTTTATCTTTATTCAATTTTTATATTTTAAATTTGGCATTTAAATCCCATAGTAAGTAGAACAGCTTTTTAAGGGTACTCTGCTTTGTTATTTATTTATTTTTCTTAAATTCTTTTATTGGTACATTTTAGGTATACAACACAATTACATTTCTCATTGGGACCTTTTACCTTTACGTGATGCATCTTGCCTCCTATTTTTTCCCCATTCCTTGCCCTCCCTTCACCCCCTCCACCCTTCCCTATTTACAAAGACTTTATTAGCTTTGTTATTTTTAAAAGGATTATATATTGCTAACCATTCTGTTTTGGTTTATATTCACTATGGCTTCATTATTATTGTTTGTTTTCAAATGTTAAGACTAAAAATCTAATATTAAAGAATTTTTGAAATTTAATTACTTTAGGGCTTTTTTATCACTTGCAGTTTGAAGTCGTGAGAAAAGATGAATATATAACCATTGAAAATTTAGGAGCAAGGTAAGCTTAAAATAAAATATTACATTATTATTTTATGCACATATATGTATTTTTAGTTGTTCCTTCTGTGTTCTGGCACCTGTTAGAACACTATTAAAATTTTAAGGAATTATTAGATGTATGAAAAAATCATATTGAATTGCCTGCCATTTGTTTCCCTCTCTATTCCCATTAATATAAACAGTTATATTTTAAATCAAAGAACTAAAAAGCATGTGGATATTTTTCTCTTAAGTGTGAAAATTATCCTTTCTTAAAAACAAAACATGTCTTAAAGTTATTCTTTAAGTAGGTTTTTATGAAGACTTTGTCTTATCCTTCAAAGCCCTCTAAGCTTATCTCACAATATGACTCTGTTTCTTAGATGAGAAACTTTATTTCTGAATAATGCACGTGCATGCACAACACACACATACACACACGCACAGATTTTAAGCTAGGAATTCATGGAGGTGTAGAGTGTTACAATTAAAATTAGAAGTTTTGATATAAAAAGTTCTTGTAACTCATTGATTTTCTTTTCTATTTAAAGGATAAATATATATAATTTTCAGTCTACACAAGGACGATGTACTAATAGCTAATTCCTCAGTTTTCCTTTATATGTTAGTGAAATCCAGATCTGTATTTAGCACAGTTTTCTCTATTAAAAATGACCTGTACATCTGTCTGCATCCTAAATAGCCCCACCTTTATTCTTTCACAAATAATTCAGCATGCCCAAAACTGAAGTCTTGATTTTTCTTTCCAACACTTCCTTGTGACTCTTTAATACCTTTTCTGCCTTACCTGCCTCCTTTACTAAACTGAATGAGATTGTCGTTCTTATTTAAAATTCTGAAACAACTTCTTAATATGTCTGTTTGTAGCCTTGCCTTTCTCTCATCTTCCTGTTTACATCGCTGTCAGTAGAACTTTTCTAAAATAAAAATTGAAATATATCACTCTGTGGTTGAAAATCTTTCAGTTTTCTCACTGCTTTTAAAATTGAAATTTCTTACCTTCACTCTTCAGTTATCTTGAAACCCACTGAACTTAGTAGTGTCATCTCATGCTCTTACCATATATACCAAGCTTCTTTTAGTTTTATACTCTCTACCACCTATACTGTGCTTCTTTTTAATTTCTTCACAGCACAGTGTCATCTCATGAAAACTCCAGATTCTTAACTGGAAGTAAAACTGTTTTACTATTACAGGCTTTGCATGGAATACCCTGCTCCTTTGTTTTTACCTAGTTAAAACATTGAAGCCTTACTTCGATAAAAGTAGATGTTTTTATCACGTATTCCTTCTAGTTCTATAAAAACATTTCCTAACTTTATTATACTTTCTTGGGTATTTTTTTCATTTGGCTGTAAACTCCATGAGGACAAGAACTTTATTTTTCATGTAGCATAATTCCTGGCACATAGCTGGTACTCAGTAAATATATAGTAGATGTAGAGATTTTGAATTTCATTATTCTCCAATGTAGTGTATAATTTATTTTTGTTTTAATTGGAAGTTAACTTGGCGGAATGGGAGTTATAACCTCTATTGCCGGGGGTGGGGAGTAACTCCAGCTTCAATCCAGAGCATTTGTCTAGCTAGCTGTTTTTAAATTTATTTCACAGTTGTGTGGTTCAGTGTTTAGTCAGTGTTCAGTCAGAAATGTAGCTCAAAAGAATTTGGGGCTCCCTTTTCTGTCTTTCCCTTCTAGGATTCCCCCATCTCTTCAGTGGCCATACATCTACAGCTTCAATTTTGTGACTTCTTCAGCTAAACAGACCATAGATCTGCATGACATCATTGTTTTTATTGGTGATACTGGCAATTTGTATTTTTTTCTTCCCATTCTTATTAGAGATATATCCATTTTGCTGATCTTGCTAAAGAATCAGTTTTTTATTTCACTGATTTTCTCTAATATTTTTATTACAATTCCATTGATTTCTGCTCTTTGTTATTTGCTTGTTTCTACTTATTTTGCATTTAATTTGCTGAAATGAAAGCTCTTATCATTGATTTGAAATCTGTTCTTAACAAACTGATTTCCCGTGAGTTACTTTTTAAATGCATCCCATACATTTTGCTATGTTGAAAATTATTTTTTTATTAAATTCAGAATGTTTTCTGATTTGGTGTATGTGTGTGTGTGTGTGTGTGTGTGTGTGTGTGTGTACGGGTACACCAAGGGTTACTTGGAACTGTGTTACTGAATTGCCAAATGTTTAGGGATATTTCAGCTGTCTTCTCAGATAATTATTCCTTTAATTCCTGTGATTACAAGATGTATTTTTCTAGTACTACAATCCTTTATAATTTGTCAGAGATTGCCGTATGATCCATAATGTTTCATATTTTGATGAGTGAGCTTTTGAAAAGAATCTATATTTTACTTTTGTATGGAGTGTTCTATATAGTACACAAAGGTAGTTTGTAATTTTGTTTCATTGTTCTATATCATTACTAATTATTTGTTTACTTTTTCTCTCAATTACTGAGAGAGAAATGTTAAAATCTGGTACAGTATCTATATTTTGTCTTTGTCTGTTGTCTGTTTATGTATTTTGAAACTGTTTTACTAGTTGCTATATACATTTAGGATTATCTTTTTCTTAATGATTTTATTGTCAGTAATAATATTGCTCCATCAAGTCTCTCTCTCTTTGATATTGATACAAAAACTGCACCTGACATTTTTTAACCAGCTTATTTTTCTCCAATTTTTATTATTCATTAGTACATGTTTGCAGTAATGATCACATTCCTCATGGGGAGTTGGTACATGTAGATAATACATCTCAATTCCTTTTTCATTCCCTTATGCCCTCCTTTCTCCCCCATTTTTCCATCTTTTGGTTCCATTCCCACTTGCAAAAGATCTGTCTCCCTACTTCCCATCATCTGTCTTTTATTTTGTTCTTTATTTATATTTTACATTTCTTGTTTAAGAGAAACCATGTGATGTTTAAACTCTGTGATTTATTTCAAAGCATTATCTCAAGATGCACCTATTTCCTACAAATGATTCAAGTTTATTCTTCCTTATGTCAAAATAGTACTCTATTTTATATTTTCTTTATTCACATTTTCTTTATTCAGTTGTCTGAGATTTAGCTCTTAATGAGTTGTGCAGCTATAAACATGGGCATGCATCTATCCCTGTAATATGATGTCTTTAACCCTCTTGGGAAGATACCTGGAATGGGAATTGCTGGATCAAACAGAAAGTTTAGTTTTTAAAAAAATCTCCATACTGATTCCCATAATGGTTGTACTAGTTTACATTCCCACCAACAATGTAGAGGGTTCCTTTTTCCCCCAGCCTTGCCATCATTTGTTACTATTTGATTTCTTGATGATAGTACAAGAAAAAGTGATGATCTTTGCCTTTAAATTGGGGGTTTATTCCATGTGAGTTTTCTATTAATTATTTATACCGTTAGATTTAATTCTCCTTCCTTCTTTTCAACTTTTTCATTTGGTACTTTGTGCTCATTTCTAATTGTAAGCTGTAACAATAGTGCTACAAGGAACATTATTATATATATTCACAGGTTAATTTATATAGAACATTTTTCAGAATGTATTCCTAGAACTAGAATTGTTAATCCATTTATTGCATATTCTCAACTTTACTAGATTTTGCCAAACTGTTTTGCACAATTGTTTTACCAATTTACACTTTCTATCAGCAGTCTAGGAGAATTTCTTTTACATAACTATCCTAGCCAGTGCTTCATATTGTTAGAATTTATATTATTTCCAATGTTGTGGGTGATTGGCAATGTTATAGTGGTGTTAGAGATAAGATCATTTAATAATAACAACAGCCACCACCAAAATTTCTGGCCTCGTTAAGCTTACATCCTAGTGTAGTTATATTTTTATTTTCTTTTGTGTTCTGTATGAGAGTTGATTTCAAAGCCAAGCCACAGTATTTTTTTCATTCATTTAATGGTAAGGTTTACCTAGTCCTAGTCTATTTAATAAATTTTGCTACTTCTTCCCTCTCTGTTTTCTAATTGTTTTTATTGCTATTATACCAGTTTCATTATTTTTTAAAATCATTCAGCATTAAGTTGGTTTTCTTAGAATAATTATTGCCAAAAAATTGTGTTGTAAAGGAGGAGTAAGGAGTTCCAGGTTCCCTATTTGCTTTTTTTTTTTTTCTTTTTTTTTTTTAAATAATACAAATCATTGCTTTTATTGTTGCGGCTGTTGTTGTCCTGCTACCACATTTATTCTTGTAAATAAGTTTGATTCTTTTTGTGTGAAATCTATCAATGTTCCTTAAATCTTTATTCCAGTGAAAATGACAATATGGGATTGTCATTGTTGGTGTTTTTGTATTTATTCTTTCAATTTTCTTCTTTGCTTTTGTTAGCCATGTTTATACTACAAATCTTGACTTATTTGTGGTATTACTTCACTCTAACGTAAGTTTTTTCCCACTTGCAGTTATAAGAAGTTGATGTCTCTGAAAATAGCTGATACTGATATAAGACCGAAGATCAGTTTAAAATTTAATACAAAAGGTATTATTTTATTTCTGTATGACTCCTATTGACAATTATCTTTTATTTGTAAAGTGCCATGCCATTAACAATCATGCTATCACCTAATGTTTGTCATGCACTAAACTTAAATTTACACCATTAAGAAACACTTGACATAGGCACTAGGCTTGATCTTACAGACAGGTATGTGGATCTCATATTACTTTGGCAACCTATGAAGAGGTACTTTAGGTCTGGTGACTACACAGTAAGATTTGCCCCAGCAGAGGTTTCTTTCAGTCCCCTTACTCTTATTGCATTCCCTTTTAATAGAGCAAGCACTGAGCAGCCTAATGTGCAAGAAATAAGCATTTGACACTTGGAGCCAACTGATGTGAACTTAGGTGCCAACTACTTATAAGTGTACCAGGAAGTGCTATATCCTCACTTTGAGACATTGCAGGCCCTTGTTCCCTTGGAAGAATAGTTTGGTGATAGTCCTTGCTAGGGAGAATGGATATCCCTAACGCCCTGATTCTATATTTGGTAAACTGGAGAAAGCTCCTCGAATCATTTTATTTTTAATTTTTTCACCCTCACAATATATATCTAGTGTATTAAGCAAAAATATTGATTGAAAAATCTCTAAAACACGAGATCATGACTACTATCTATTTCTCCTCGGTCTACTTTCCTCCTCTGGAAGTACTTTGATATTGGGGAAAATATCAAATAGTTTTTAATTTCATACCTTATTCCATTTCACTGATGAAATACCTACTTAATCATTAAATTCATCAGATTGGGTAAGGACAGGAAGTTTATTATATCAGTGCTTCTCAAACTCTGAATATATATTGAATCATCTGGCTCTTTTGTTAACATATAGGTGCCAATTCAATGAGTCTGGAGTGGAGCTTGCTATTTCTAACAGTTCCAAAGGGAATGCTGATACCATTGGTCTGTGGACCACTCTTTGAGTAACAAGGCATTAGATCACTTTATTTTTTTTGACATATTGTAGCCACTAGCCATATGTGGCCATTTAGGTGGAAATTAATTTAAATGAAGTAAAATTGAACAAACAGCTCGTCAGACAAGCAACATTTCCAGTACTCAAATGAGTAGTGGACGGTGCAAATATAAAACATTTTTGTCACAGAAAGTTCTCTTGCATAGTGCTGATTAAGATAAAATATGATAAAATAAATAAAGTATAATAAAACAGTGGCAGTTACCATTCTTGACAAATTCTGGCTTAGTACTTTGATGCCATTTGGTGGCCAAAACTCATTTATTTGAACAGAACAGTGGATGATTGAAAGGCTTCTGATGGAGAATAGTTTTTGTGCTACTTTTGCTTGGGAATATACTGTTTTGGTTTAGATATTTTGGCAGCAAGGCAGAAACCAACATGCTTATTGAGCACTACACGTGGCGAAACACTATACTGTGCTTCATTCTTTTAGAATAATTCTTGTCCTACCAGAGCATAGAATGTAATGCGCATAGGAAAAGAGCATTAATGTGGAATATCTTGACTTCTCAAAATTCATTTTCAGATGAAATGCCTATCTTCAAACTTGATTATAATTATTTCTATCATCTGCTTCATATAATTATTATTTCTGGTACTGACATTGTCCGGCAAATATTCGATGAGGCTATGCCACCCCCTCTTTTGAAAAAAGAGCTGCTCATCCACAAGAATGTACTGGAATCCTACTACAACCATCTTTGGACCAATCACCCTTTGGGTGGATCATGGCATCTGCTTTATCCCCCAAACAAAGAGCTACCACAATCCAAACAGTTTGATTTATGCCTCCTATTAGCTCTAATAAAACATTTGAATGTATTCCCTGCACCCAAAAAAGGCTGGAATATGGAACCACCATCTTCTGACCTCTCTAAGTCTGCAGACATTCTGAGACTATGCAATTACAGGGATATCCTCCTTAGTGAGATTTTGATGAATGGGCTCACAGAGTCACAATTCAATTCAATTTGGAAAAAAGTTTCAGATATTCTTCTGCGTCTTGGGATGAAGCAAGAGGATATCGACAAAGTGAAGGAGAATCCCATTGAGAATATTTCCCTTGATTACCATCAGCTATCCATCTACCTAGGCATACCAGTACCAGAAATCATCCAAAGGATGCTATCCTGCTATCAACAAGGTACAAAATAATCTTTATTTCACCCAGTAAACCTTTATTGTCTGTTCTATGCCTGTGCCGTGCACAGTATAGTTGGCAGAGAATTTAGTGAACTCACATTCTTGAGAGGATAGACTTATTAAGAAGGTAAATAGAAATAATAGTGCTAAAGATGTTTCTAGAATACATGGGAAATCCTAGCTTAAAGGAATCTGAAAAATCTTTCTGGAAAATACAATATTTAAGGAATTCTTAATGATAGGTAGAGGTTAGCCAAGTGAGGCAGATGAATAAGGATGCTTCAGAGGGAAACAAAAACAAAGATACATAAACATAAAAATGTCATGATACAGGGAACTAAAAAATTTGACATTAATGAGATTAAAGTAGGAGAGAATTCATGGACAGAATGCATTCAAGAGGACTTCTTTTGTCCTGTTGAGAAATTTGTATTTTTGCAAAAAAGAATTGTTAAAAGATTTTTAAATAGAAGAGTTTTATCACTTCTCCAAAAGTAAGCATGCCTAATGCCATGAAATACAGCTACTCTGTATTTAAGAATGCCTTTATAAATACAATAAGTGTGTGTTTCTTTTTCTTTTTAGCTGAATTTTGATGTTTATTTGGCTTTGTTGTTGCTTGTTTGTTTGGCTCATTGGATTTTTTGAGACAGTATCTTATATGTATATAGTCCAGGCTGACCTGGAACTCAGGGTCCTTCCAGCTTAGCCTCCACAGTGCTGGGTTTGCAGGTATACACCACCACACCTTGCTAGTGTTGATGTTTAATTTAAAATTTTACCACCTAGTTTGTAGATGAATAAAATACCAGATAGCATCCATCTAAGTGTCTGAGTTCAGCAGTGGCCATTCCTAGACGTGTCTATTGATATGTAAAAGACCAGACTTCTATGGAATGCCAAGATTGCTTTCATTTCTCATGGGGAGTAGAGTTCAGGGTCTGTCAGCATCATTGAAACTCTTTCTGTGCTATTCTAGGTAACTGTTTCTGGTCCCGAGTTATTAGTGTAGTGGGTAACACAGGTACTTCTTAAAATAGTAGAATCTTCCCAAGTTTCTAGTAATTATCGCACTGGTCCTGAGTTTCTTCAGAGGTAATTGCCTTGTTTCATTTCCCATCCTTTTACCAAGGTTCTTGGCTACTGTTTTCTAGCTTAATCTTTGAGAGCCTTTTTTGAGTATCAAAAAGATGCTGAGATTGATGATATGAGAAAGTTAGGCAAGAATTTTTGACTCATAAATTGACTTACTAATTGTATTTTTCAAAATACACTTACACTATTAAGATTTTTATATAACAAAAAGTGGTGAAAATAAGGTGTTATTTGAGAAAGGTGTTTGAGCACTGATTCAAGGTTTTTAAGCAACTTTCATTGGGGTAGTCCAAAGAGCTTATTAGTTGAGTCCATAATAGAAGCTTTCTTAGTATTTTTTATCTCTTCCTTCAGTTATTAAAAGTACAGTATTGATATACCTGATTATTAGATTAACATCCATTGCCCTTACTAAACATTTGTGAAGATTATCTTTTCTTCCTTACCATTCAATCTCTAGAGCCTAACATAGCATATCATAGATGCCTAATAAATATTAATGGGCAAGGAAATATGTTTCCTAATTGGCTATTATTTCTTCATTGATTTAGACTAATAAGTAAGAATGCACTGCTTGGTTTAATGTGCTATCTATTTATGAACTACTAATTTTTCTATCTATTATGAACTATTAAGTTTTTTCATTACTAGGAATTGAACCCAGGGGTGCTGTACCATTGAACTACATCTAGAACCATTTTACTTTATTTATTTATTTATTTATTTATTTATTTAGAAACAGGGTCTCACTGAGTTGCCCAGATGTTCTCATGCCTCAGCCAGTGCTGAGAATATAGGCATGAGTCACCATGCCTGCTTTGAGCTATTAAAGTTTTGTCCACTATCTTTTTTTTTTTTTTTTTGTACTGGGTATCACACTCAGAACCCTGCGCTTGTGAGGCAGGTGGCAGAACTGCTGAGCTAAATCCCCCGGTCCCTGTCTACTATCTTTAATCATGGACTTGTGTCTTAGTTACTATAATTGTTACTGAGACAAAATACCGGACACCCAAAGTTAAAGGAGGAAAGGTTTGTTTTGGCTCACAGTTTGTAGAAGTTTCAGATCATAGTTGGCTGGCTCCAAGGCAGACGGGCATGGAAGAGGGGCATCACAGAGGAGAAATAGCTCATGCCAGGCAGAAGGCAGCAAGGCAATCAACAAGCCACAAGCAACAATAGCAGCTTCTTTCTGCCCCTTTTATATTGTACCTAGGCTACCTGGTTTAGGGCAGGTGCCAAAGCAATCAGTGGACTAATTTTAATATTCACAAACCTTTGATTTCAGCACAACACACTCTAGATCCAGGCATCTCTGAAATGCCCTCACCATGACTGCATGAGGCTTTTGGGGGACATCTAGACACAAGCCACACAGCTTGTAATCTTTATATTATAATTGAAAGATTGCACTTTGTCTAAACTGCATTGATGAGCAAAATGTGTTACATTTATAGTTAATTATAAAATAAATTGGTGCTGTATAAAAAGATGGCTTTTCTTAAATACAGTCAGACATTTATTGGTTGAATTCGCAATTGTACATCTAAATATTTTCTTTGTATACCATAGGAATTGCTCTACAGTCTATAACAGGAAGTCAACGTAAGTACATTTAAAAACAAAATGCTGAAGTCACTTTGTAACTTGGGATGCCTATGGGATATCTATGAGACAAGCTATATAGTAAATTATACCTATTTGTTAAAAGCTTGGAAAATCTTGTGGTCAAATTTCTACTGTTCTGAATCTACTATGAGTCTACTCAGCCTTGGTCTTTAACTCTTCCTGATCTTTATGTTTCAGATTTATATCTTGAGATAATACTAGTTATAGAGTTAATAGGGTCAATGTCAAGTCTTAAAAACTTAGTACTATTTAGATTCTAAGTGCTAGAATGTCTAATATCTACAGTCTACTTAAGATACCAGTAGGGCAACATAGTATTTAGTACATATTGACCCAGGTTTGCCTACAGATGATGATCTCACTTTTTACTAACAGGACACTTCAGCAAGTAAAAGTGCATACCTGTTTGCTTTATCTGTTCATATGTCCTATTTAGCATATAAAGCTTTATCTGGCTAACAATACATTATACAATATACATTTTTGATACCTAGTTAATTGCTATTTTTTAAAATTTCCAATGATTGATTGATTGATTGAGATGGGATCTCACTATGTTGTCCAGGCTGGCCTTAAACTGGAGGGCTTGAGAGATTCTCTTGCCTCAGCCTCCCTAGTAGATGGGACTACTGGTGTTCACCACCAAATCTAGCTTTTTAAAGGCATATAGGCCTTTTTAAAAAGATAATTTACATTCCACATTTAAAATTATTCTTAAGGAAACAACACCATGAGTTTGTTTGTAGTTAAATGTTGGACCACCCATGGTGAAGTTTTGAGACCAAGTCTCTGAGGCAATATCAAGGAGTACAGTGTCAAAGAATTCATATAATAGGGAGTTGGTGACTTTCTTAAGGAAAAGAGAAAAAAGTTATTTTGGCTTTTCCTGATCTTTGTTTCATATTTATACCCTAAACTAATACTAGTTAGGGTTAATGTCAAGATTCAAAAGCTTATTATTTAGAATCTTTCTAAGTTCTAGAGTAGCTAATACCAAAGTCTATTTAAGGTACCAGAAGGGTAACATAGTATTTTTGTTCATGTTTATTGGTTTCAAGATAGTATATTTAGCTATTATTTGGTCATTGATAAATAGCCATTGCATTTTCATCTAGTAATTGAAAAAAATAAAATGTCAGTTTTATAATTGTAATAAGAGGCTGAAATTTCTTGCATCCAGATTCTGAGTGTCATGTTTTTAATGTTTAGATATTGAAATAGAAGAGCTACAGAATGAGGAAGAAGACCTAAGTCCACCACTTATGGAATACAATATAAATGTGAAATCAAACCGTGAAATACAGTTAGCAGAAATGAATAAAGATGAAGCTTCTATACCCAGTGAATCTTCAACAGAATCTATTAAGGATCTCCAAGAAGTATAAGCTTTCATTAATATTTGAATTTGAAGAACTTATTCTGGGCCTTTAGTTGTTGCATGTACTGCATTTAAAGCATCCCAAATGATCTTAACTAATCCTTATTATAGTATTCCCCCAGAACTTGAATTGGAATAGTTCTGTTTTCACCCATAATCTTTCCTGCCATAACCATTTTTTTGCCAACATATATTGAATACTTACTATGAACCAGGCACTATGTTTAGTTTCTGAGAATATTTCTTCATCCAAAGGGAAGTAGATGTGGGAGGGTAGTAAAAAGAAAATAAAATAAGGAATAGAGGAGAGAGAAAGAAAAAATTGGCACATTTTGATGCCACTTGTATAGAGGTAGAATTTAAATAATCTAGGATGGAATCTCCACATTTCTTACAGATAAGTGGCATCAGTTACTATAAAGTCACTCATTTCTTCTTAGGCTTAATCTTTCATAGACATCAATATGTTGTTCTTTTGAAAGTTCCTTCCTCCTTTGTTACTCATGTACATGTGTATAAGTAAACACCCTTCAGTGTTTTACCTGAGCCTACATATTGAGAGGATTGCTGATCTTTATATGTCTGATTTTTCAAAAGCAGAAAACTAAGATTAAAATTAAAATAAAAATTAAATTTTTTCATAAATCTAGAAAGAAATATGATCCATAGTGCCAGAAGATGAAAGATATCAATAGTTAAGGGAAACATTTTATAAAACAATCCATTATATAGCTTGATTGCATATTAAATGATGTATTTTGTGTCTACTAGGTAAAGAGTAAACCAAAGAAAAAGAAAGTAACAAAGAATAAAAAGGTAAGGGGCTGCATAAATATTATAATAGAAGGATATCTGATTATACACTTGCATTTAATCATATACTCATTGTTAGAACTTGAATTTCTCCAGATAGACACATAGTACAAATGACGGAATAGTTTAAATGAATATATGATTATAGTCTATATGTTATATCTTGAATGGTTTAAACAATATGCAGGTCTCTAAATCCAAATTTGTACACTTGAACATACAAATAAGTAGACTGAATTACTCACTTAGAAATTTCAGTAATTTTTACATACCATTGTAATTTTTAAAATGCCTGCTCATTGTTTTCATAACAGCTTCTTTTTGTCAGATATCTCCTATGTTCAGAAACATTTTTTGAAACCTTAAGAAATGCTGATTTTCTTCATGTCTGAAGGTCTTCCAGCAATGCACTAGTGTAGCAAAAAATGGTACAAATACAAGCTTCTTTCTGCACTTCTTTCTTGGTATTTGCCAGTTGCAAAATGAACAAGTCACTATCAGGAACATAATTTTACAAAAAATTTCTTAGTTGCTTAGAAAAATACAAGGGAAAGTGAGTTTTTTTTTAATCAAGCCTATGGCTAAACATCATGGTATGCAAACTTTATGTTGAAAAAATGTTAATTTTCTAGTCTGAAATATATTTAAATATTATCTCTCATAAGTAAATCAAATTATTATTATATCAAGATTATATGAAATTTAGATATCTCTTATATTATAAACTAAGTGATTGTAGTTTGCCCACTTATAATCTGATGAGATCATGTTATTAGTCATTTGGAAGAGTATACAAATTTTAATCATTCATGAAACAATAAAATTGAACTTGCAAAATACTGATATCAAGAACAAAATAAAGATAATTTATTGTCTAATCTGATAAAATCAATATTATCATTATTTCCTATCATTTATTATAATTTATTTCACTTAAGTTATTTTGAAAATTACATTTTGTGTTTAAAGACACGAGGAATTTTTCTTTTAAACCATTCTTATCTGATAAAAGCGTAATGTAGTTCATTAGTATTAGTGATTTGTTTTATTTTTGCCAAAATATCAGTAAGTCTGAATATACATTAAAGTTGCCAAGTAAACTCATGGGTATCAAATTACAAAGCTAAATTCCAAAGACATATAGTGTGGCTCTTTCTTACCTCCAAAAGATTAAAGTATGGTGATGTTCAAATTCTTAATCTTAGCTCAATGGAATTGTCAAATTGAAATTAAGCAGAGAATAACACAACTAAAAATAAGTGTAAATACCACTAAAAATCCATACCTACTAATATTAAAATTTCTAGGAACTTTCTGTTTCTTTAACATTCTAAGATTTTGTCCATTGTTTTCTCTGTTAATAATTTTTTGTAACGTATCTTCCTAATAATAGTCCTAAAAATATCTATCACGCAATCTGGAAGAATATGAAGAAAAAGTAAAATTTATATAGCAAATAGAAGGGATAGCACAGATAGCTTTTAAATCATATGTAGAGACTATGTATCGACTCTGTATGTTCCCTTTCTTCAGTGGGCTATTTACCATTTATTGAGCTTCTAATATATCCAAATTGTAAGTAACCTATTTGGGGGTTAATTAGATCCTTCCATCTCCCACCCAGGATTAGAGTGGGCAAAAGAATAGAAGGCTCTTGTGATGAAGCCTTAGAAAGAAAGAAACAGAACAGGAAACAAATCCAACCCTTCAATTTGGTTAGCTTCTCAATAAGAGAGAAGTTGCAGAGATGCTTTGAAGAGAGGTTGATATACATTGGCATGAAGTTATCATGGGAAGAGTGAATATCATGGAAAGAGTTTGAGAAATAATCATCTCTATAAGATATGTTCATTATAAGCACCCAAAGCTCTTTTCAACTCAGGTATTCAAGTACACTGGAACCAGTGTAGGAGTTGGTAATTCTAAATCATCAAATCAAACTGGTCCTAAACATTGAACATGTCAGTTACCTGAAACATAAAAATTTCAGTATACTGATAAGAAATAAAAAGGAAGGTTTGTATTTACAGCAATTTTTTTCCCTGTGGAGAAGATCCTGAAGTTTCTTGTAACCAAGAGATGGTAAAAATTAATAGTTTTTAATTTAATGTGTTTTGTCATTGATATTACCTTTATTTGATATATTGCTTCTATAGTTTTACTTTAATGAACATAAAGTTTAGAATTTTAAAGATTTCCTTCCAATTACGATTTTAACACTTCTTTTTTAAAGTGTAAGTTTCTTAATATACCAGTCTGATTTTTCTTTATATGAGAGTTTTTAAGCATTTTTCTAATTAGTGTACGAATAAATGGGAATTACATATACTCTGTTCAAGGCTTACCAGTAGGTACAAACTTAATCCAGTATTCACCTCTGTTATCTGAATCAGAGATTTTCAATTTATATGTCATGACTTAGTAGATTACAAAATCAATTTAGTGGATCACAAATGCCATTTTTAAAAGGAATAGAATAAATGGGAATAAAAAATACCACAGCCACATCATACACAATATGGATACCTTATGGAATCCTTATTTCAGTTTTCTGCTCATAATTAAAGATATGTAACTAAATACACATATAATATCATAATATGAAAAATTTTTCTTTGTGATAAAAGTTTATTAACACTGACCTATAAATATAGACATATCAGTATGTTGTGTTGATATAGTTAACATAGATCATTAATTCTTGATGCTACTTTTCAGACTAAGGATTCAAAAGAAGAAAAAGTGTAAGTATTAGTTTAATTGTTAAGTTTTTAAAATATATATTTTTTGGTACTGGGGATCAAACTCAGGACCTTGCACTTGTGAGGCAGGCGCTGGAACCACTGAGCTAAAGCCCCAGCCCTAAAAATATTTTTAAAGTATCCTTTTCAATAATATAGTCTTCTTTTGGGAAATGTTCTTATTAAGAAAAGATTGTTCTTTATCTTAATAAGTTGCTGCAATTTTATAGAACATTGTAAAAAGTTAAATCATTTCTTTTGCAAGAATAGTCTTTCACTATTTTTTCTATGCAGATACTCAAGATATTTAATGGTCAGTGCTTCCTTTAAGGACTAACTTGAGTTCTGCATAAAACACTTCCAAATATGCTCTACATTATGTTAACCAAATCTTGACTGAAACTTAACTTTAAAGGATAAATCATTGTCATTTCCCAGTAACTCCTTTTACAAAAGAGTTTAGATTTTTTAATCATACTTCTTGACAGTGAATGTTGAACATGTAATAGAAATGTTTTAATGCCAAAAGATCACTGTGAGATACATTGTCCAGCCATATGACTGATGACAGTGTATTAAACAATAGAAAGGGAAGACAGTCTAATGAAGATATCATTCCTACCAAAAGTTAGTTAACTGAGTGTTAGTAACTTCAGAGAATTCTGAGAACATAAATTAGGCTGCCTTTAAAATGACAGCAAGAACATATTTTCTTAAGTTTAAACCTATCATTTGTGGTAGCTCATATACAAAATAGTTCATCGGCCAAGATGTGTTTTCACTTTCTTTGGCAAAAGGTTGAGTCATTGGAGCAGTGGTTTTCCTGCCTTGGGCTATGTCTATATGCCATAAAATAGTAATACTGAAACAGTGTCATTCATTGTTTTGATCATTTTACTTACATTATAGATCCAAATTTTGAAAATGATCAAATCAGCCAGGAAGCTTTGTTTTTAAATTAGAACTTTCAAATATATGCAAAATTAAAGAGAATAGTATATATCTATTATCCCAATTTAATAATTATCACTGCATTACACATTTGTTTTATATTTCTTTGACATTTGTTCTTTAAGTATTTTCAACTCCAAACTTCATTATAATTTATCTTTCCATGGTTCAGTTTACATCTCTTGAAATATGAATATTTTTTATATTGTCCCATTGCTATTATTGTACTTAAAAATTTAAGAATTATTTGGGGGAACTTTTCAAAAGTACAAATTCATCTGTACTTTCACACTTGTATAAGGATGCCTGGAAATATTAACTTTTTTAAAAGCTCCTTAGGTAATTTAGAAAAGTAATTGAGTCTAAGGACCAGTAGTCTACACAAGCAGTTGATTACATTGAACTTTAAAAATTGCTTAGATCATTCTACAATATCTGAATAATAACTCATGACTATTTATACAGTGTTTTATGAATTACTCTACATACATTAGGTGTCAGGGTTTTAGATGTCAATGTCCTAAAAAATAAGTGTATCCTAGAGTTTTTTCACTAGTAAAATTGTTATTTACATCATACTGTAAGTAAAAATATTGTTTCTTGTTACCATTCAGTGAGATTAAAAAAGAAATTTATAGTTACTATACATAGGCCAACTAAGAGGGTATTAGCATGCTTTTAAATTTTAGACATAAGTATGAAAATTATTCAATTGCTATTTTATGTACATTATTTTTAGTGGCATCCAGTTACTATGTTGCCACTATAGTTTTTTAAGTCTTGTTAAAAAAGGAACCTTCATTTTATAATCTACTTTATATGTGCAACTCTATCTAAATTTATATTAGACCAAAGCACTAATTCTGATTAAACTTACCTGTCAAGAATATTGCGTGTTTGTGTGTGTGTGTGTAAATAGTGAGGTAGAAATGCTTGCTAGTATTTCTCAAAATATCGTTTCCCAAAGTAACTGATGTTGATGGTTATAATTTGAAAAGTGAGTTCTTTCTTTTTCTTTTTTTTAAGTTTGTATGTTACTTTTATTAGTTTGTATGTTGTTTGTATGTTAAACAAACTATTTTTACACTGTTATTGCCATATGCCTTTTATCTTGTGCACAATCTGATATAACTGGAAAGCTTGTGCTCAGCTTTAGCCCCTACAGAACCACCATGTTGGGGCCCAGCTTGAAAAGTGAGTTCTTGAAAGCACTGGATGGGCAGTTAAATATGTAGCTCAATCAAATGCTGTCTCAAATTTATTAATATTCCTTGTGAATGCTCAAGACAAAGGCATAGTATGAAAACTGTCCAAAATTTCTTTGACCATGGACCCTTTTAATGCTGAGCATCTTATGAGATCAGTACAATACTAATTTGTAATTTGTAAAACAATAACTTAAATGAAAACCACTGCAGAAAAAATCACATCAATCATGTCACCACTATAGTTCATGTATGAGAGAAAAAGAAGAGCCACTGAAGAAAGAACAAACAAATTCATACCCAGTGAGTAGATTTTTGAAGGATGATGCAAGTGATGTTCAAGAAGACTCTGCAACTGAAGACAAGTTCTATAGCCTGGATGAACTGCATATTCTGGACATGATAGAGCAGGTAAATATGACTGGAGAGCATACAGTCCTACCTTTTTTCTTCAGAAACAGTTGCTACCTTGTTTTTCTGAGTCTTAACAACTTGACTTTTTGAAAAGCCCAGTGGTTTATGCTGTTGTGGGTAGAAAGAAAAAACATGAAGGAAGATATAGAGGGATGAGTGAAAGAAAAAAGAACCCTAGGGATTATAAACATTTCACATTGGCTCTCAGACCATCTTCTAGCTTTAGCTATTGGGAAAAGATGATCACAAATGGATTCTTTGCAAAATGATTTTGAGCACCATAAGAAAGAAAGAGAACTATCATGTCCTACTGGATAAAATGTCATGAGAAAAATAGCTTTGTGAAACAAAGTAATTTTATTTTTTTATTAAATCTGGTTACTTTGAATGTCTATAAAATATTAATAAAACAATAGCAATTTTTTCTGGCTTCTTTTCTGGTATTCACTGCTTGAAATGATGTACCTATATGTGAACAGATATTTGAATACAATTTAAATGCTCAACAGAGCATTTAATTAAACCAAATGAAAGAATCAAATCAAAACTTGTTTAACTGACTCAGAATTCAGTGATAATCTGCTCTGGGTTTAAATATAATGGTATATATTATGTAGAAATGTTCACTCTCTAAGAGTACAGTTAGTACAAATGCTTCCATAGTTGACAGTACAACATTCATATAATTGTAGGATATGTACATTTTGACTGAAATTATGACCACTGATTTGTATTCAGCCAGGAGAACTTTAAGAACTCAAAATTAGAATTAAAATGCCATATATAATTTCAAAGAATGTTTATTTACTTTAAAACTGTTTAGCACCTATGTGGTATCAAGAGCTATGCTAAGACACGGTGCCTGTTTTCACAGTTGTTTACAATCTACTGGAGAAATTGAACAGTAAAGTCAAATATATAGTGCAGTGATCGAGTACATGGGCAATAGAGGCTGCTTAGGTTAGAAATCACACTCCTTCACTTACTGCTCGTGTTACCTCAGGCAAGTAAGTTACTCATTTTATCATCTCAAAATGGGAATAATGAGTGCTACCTCATGCGGTTCTTATGATAAAAGCATTACAAATAAAATAGTTAAAAATAGGAAGCATGCAGATAGTATTACCCATCCTTAGCAGCAGGAGCAAAGTACTTATGGTATTGTTTTGTGGATGCTGTAATTGGGCAAAAGAAGATTTATTGAATTAGAGAAATAATGTTTGAGTGGAGATATAGAGCATTACTAGGAGTTAGCTTTAATCCTAAAGTAACCAAAATATTAGTGTTTTTAAGAGAAAAATAAGACATGTATATTTTATTTGCTTAATAGGGCTCACCTGGCAAGGTAACAACAGACTATGGAGAAACTGAAAAGGAAAGGCTTGCTCATCAACAGCAGCTTTATAAATTGCATTATCAGTGTGAGGTAAGTACTTTTGCTACTAGATGCTAGGGAAGCAAGAAGTATTTCAAATGTTAAATTTAATATTTTCATTTGTGAAGGAACCAAATTTGTTTAGTATTTGTTTTAGTTTCTAGCATGACTTAAGCAAATAACTGAAATATTTTTAATTGATCAGGATTTCAAAAGGCAGTTGAAAACTATGACATTTCGGTGGCAAGAAAATCAAATGCAAATCAAAAAGAAGGAAAAAATAATCGCATCTCTTAACCAACAAGTGACTTTTGGAATCAATAAAGTTTCTAAGTAAGTACAAAACTTTTGAAAAAGGGGCAATTCTGGGTTTGCCTTATCTATTGCGTATAAAAGATAATCTCCCCATAGCCACTAGGTGGCAGTGCGACTGCACAGTAAGAACTCCAAAGCGGTTTTACTTGCTTGAAAACCATCCATATTTTTTGCTTTGCCAACTGGATTGAGAAGTAAGCAACTGCTCACTCTCTATATATCAGGCTTTTTATGCGTTGGCTGAATAAATGTGAAGATAATAAAATTACATGAAAAGGATAGTTAACTTTTAGGTCATGACTCTAATTTGTAAAAATAGAATCAATGCTTGTCTGTTTCTTTATAGAACATAAGTGCATTTCTCAGAGATACCCATGGAATCAGTTGAGTGCTTTTTTTATATTGGTCTGTCAGAGTATTTGTGTTCTAACCTTGAGAGATAGGAAACAAATCAATTAAGGGAGATTCTTCCACTGTTCTCCACTGATCTCTTTTTTCTTACCACTTTCAGTATTAAATGCTGAAGACCAAAAATTCTGACTAAATGAGTGATCTGCTTTATTCCTTTTATGCTAACAACTTCCTCAAACATGTATCATTTGAAATAGAGGATAGTTTTGTAACACATTTTAATAAACAGTGGTATCATATATCCATGAAATTTAGTTTAAAATCCACTACAGTCCCAGAATACTAATCGGAAGAATAGGCAAAAACTAGAGAATGTTGTAGATTAAGGAGTTCAAGATATATCATACAAAATTGGACAAATACTTGACAGCGATTTATGCCTTAAATTTTCTTGCATATATCTCAAACATGAAAAAAGTTTTACAAAAAACTATATGCCATAGTCTTGGCAATATCATTTCAGTTGCAAACACCTTTAGACTTGTTCCTACTGGAGTTAAAGAGATACCCTAGGGTAAGAAGGAAGCGAAGACCTAAGAAAATGAGCAAACTAAGATGGCTGTAGCTATTTATTTCACTTATCTCTATTTCAGGATTCAGAACTTTTCTTTAGCCTGGAAGGTGATAATCAATCCAGAAATATGTCATATACCATTAGAGATCATAAAAGTAATTCTGTCATTGTAGATGAGCTGCCTTTCTCCTTTGCCATCTGAGGCTATCCCTCCTCAACCCTGAGAGCTGACTTATGTATCTGTATGTGCTTAAGGCCTCAAACAGACCATGTTAGGAGATGCACATGTCTTTACACAGGAGCATTCTGTAGTGAACAATCATAAAACATTTATCAAGAGCCCTTTGTGACAGAAGAATTATGTAAAGCACATATAAAAGATACCAAGATGTGTGAAATGTTCATTATGAGCTAGAAGAGAATGTACATGTATTTGTCGGGGGTTTTTTGTTACTGTGAGAAAATACCTGAGGAAAACAACTTAAAGGGGAAAGGACTTATTTTGACTCATAGTTTCAGAGCTTTCAGTCTATGGTCAGCTGTCTTCATTACTTTTGGGCCTGTGATAAGATAGAAGCATGGTAGAAGAGTGTGTAGAGTGTAGAGCCAAGAAACAGAGAGAGAGCTTGAGAAAGCTGGAAAAGAAGGGGCTTGGCACAGACAAAGTCCCCAAGGTCGTGACCCCATGATCTAGTCCCTTTTTCCAGGCCCCCGCCTCTTGTTTCCATCATCGTCCACTAATGCCATAAAATTATGATCTCATCAGTAGATATTGATGAAGTTAGGACCCTGATGATCCAGTTACTTCCCAAAAGTCAATCAGGAACCAAGCCTTTGACACCATGAACCTTTTGGAGGACATTTTGGATCCCAGCTGTAACAATAGATTAACATATGAGAATTAGCAGAGGGACTATTAGGTTCACCAAGATATAGTAGCTCCTTGTTCTTACAACTTTAACACTCTAGACATGATACAACAAACTAACACAGGAACACTCTGAAAGGTAGGAGAATGGCCCACTAGTCTTCTTGACATGTAATACCATACCAAGGGCTCAATAATGATTTTTCTCAATGACAGTTTGGACACTGAAACATAGGAAGAAGAAAACATGATGTCTAAAAACACTTGGATTTGAGGAATGAAATGGCAGTAAGTTTCCTTATTGCTTCTCACATATATATCCCAATCAGGATCCTGAAGAAGCCTCTAAACTGGGACTGCCAGTAAGCACAAAGGAAAAATAATCTGAGAAAAGACTGTTCCTTCTTGCCAAAGGATCAGAAAAAGGAAAGTGTAACAACAGAAAACCTTTTTGGCAGTCCCCACCTTACTCTAGCCAAACACCAATAGGCCCCACACCATCCCTAGAAAGTAGTGTGCTCTGATTCACACACCTGACAGAAATAGGAGGCAATAATTCTATTCCCCTGGTGACATATCAGCAGTACCAACATGGCAGCTGATACTGTTGTTGTTGTTGTTGTTGTTATTATTATTTTTATCTTGGTTCAGAGCCTTGAACCCAGGCAGCTGATCTCCCAGTCCCCATCAGGCAGCAGAAAGTAATTCCTGTAATCCCTGTTAGTATAGTCTAGCCGGCAACTGAGCCTCTACCTCTACTCAGCATCATTGAGACTTAACAAGTCAGTGCCAGGCAGGACTAGTCAATTCTAGGCTTCATTCCTACTATCTGCCCCTCACGGAGAGCTAAATCTTTGCCCTGGGACTAATTGGCCTTCTATTTTCCTCTCCCCTTTGCTGATGCCAAAGGAGCAAAACTGGGGGTTTCTGCCTCCAATCTGAAGTAATAAAGTCCTGTGAGTCAATCCTTTGCTTTCTCCTTTTCTACTGTCAGCAGGGCCTAGCAGGGAGTGGATCTTGTACTTTATTTGTAGGCAAAAGGCATTGTGAGTCAGTGCCACACTTTCATGAGAACTTCCACACTTTTCAACTCCATGCATTGTGATTCAGAACTCACTTTTGCTGGGATGTTGTTGATAGGGCCCAGTGTAAAGCTGAACATACGTGCCCACCAGATCCTTACATCATACCTCAGCAGGATTGTCAGTTAAAGATAGGAAAATTAAATACAATGCAGTGTCATCCAAAATATCTAGGCTACAGTACAAAACACTCATCATACCAAGAGCCAAGAAAATCACAATATGAAGAAGACAAATAACAACATTAAAATGATTCAGATCACTTTATCTAAATAAATTATTGTAATGCAACCATCATAAAAATGCTTCAATAAAATTGAATTTGGAAAAAATAAAAACCTATAAATTCTCAAGTTACAATAGATAGTAAGTTATAATAAAGAGTGGAAGTTATAAAACTAGAAAATACAACACTTAAAATTTTAAACTGCTGGGTATAGTCACTAGTAGAGATGACAGGATGAATTTAGGCACAGATGAATAGTATTTATTCAATCTGAAGATCAAAGAGATAACAGGTTGGGGGAAAAAACCTTTGAAAAGACACTCTGAGGGATCTATGGAACAATGACAAAAGAGCTAAAGTTCTTAGAATTCTAGGAGGAGAGCATAGAAAGAGAATGTGCACTGAAAAAGAGTGTTCAAGGGAATGATTAAAAATTGTCCAGGTTTGAGTAAATATATAAACTTACAAATTTAAGAGGCTAATTGAATGCTAACTGGCAAAATCTAAACAAATTGTTACTAATACACATTATAACTAAATTTCTAAAAACTAAAGACAAAGGCAAATCTTGAAAGTAAGAAGAAAGAAAGACAGTAGTCCCCCCCTTACCCAGAAGGATGCATCCCAAGAGCCCCAGTGGCTGACTGAAAGAACAGCTAGTACTTAAACCATATATGTACTGATTTTTCTTTTACATACATACAAATGAAAAAGTTTAATTTATACATTAGGCATAGTAAGATATTAATAGCAATTAATAAAACAGAACACTGCAATATAATTGCTAGCATGATTGCTCTGATATTGTGGGGTCACTATTAGGTAAAATAAGGGCTACTTGAACACAAGCATTGTGGTACAAGAGCAGGTGATCTGTTAGCCGAGTTAGCTTCTAAGTAACTAATGAGTGGGAAGTATACACAGTGTGGATACACTAGACAAAGGGGTGATTTGCCCATGTCCCAACAAGATGGAGCAGGAACCAAAGATTTCATCATGCTGCTCAGAATGGTGTATAACTGTTCAGAATTGTTTATTTCTGGAATTTTCCATTTAATAGTTTTGTATTAACTAAAACTCCTATGTGTCCAACATTCTGAACTTATAAGACTTAATGAGAAATACAATTTTGATATAATTTTCTTCATATTGTTGTAGAATACTTGCCTATCATGTGTGAGGCTCTGAGTTCAATCCACAGTACCAGAAAAAAATTTCTGTTTTAGTTTATAGTTTTAATTAATGTTCTTATTTGCACAGAGCATCACTTTCATATTTAAGGTCTAATTTCTTTCAGACCTCCATTCTTTGATACTTTGCATGACTTGATATAATATCTCTTTAAGGAGCTTAAAGTTCTCAATCCCACAACAGGCTTAGAAAAATCAGGAGATACAGCTCTGTTTTTTAGTAGATAAACTAAAATAGAAAGAGCTGAAGACAGTTTTTTAAGTCATTGAGCTGGGACACATGTTAAGATAACATTTCTCTAGCTTTTCTAATTTATTGAGTTGGCATTTAGTTCCCTTTGGGTAGTCAGTAAATCAGATGTGAAAAATAGGTAAATTTCAAAAGGGACAAGTATAAGAATCAAATTAATCTTTTCAGCCTCATGATTTGTTGTCCAAATTAGAGATAGTTGGTTCCATCCTCAATTACAGATAGAACTGTTCTGTGTCAATGAGAAATAATTTGTAACATTTTATGACTTATTTTCTCATTTACTTAGATTACAACGTCAAGTCCATGCTAAAGATAATGAAATCAAGAACCTTAAAGAACAACTTTCCATGAAAAGGTACAAACTTAGGTTTTTGGGGGGGAAGTGGATATAACCTCTCTGAAATTTTGCATTTCACTGTCTAAGGAAACCATACGATTTATTATCCAAATCAGGTACTTTTAAGTATGATATTGAGAAGTATCAATAGTTACATTGGGGTAATGGGTATCAACTGAAAGTGTCCCAGGCAAATTGAGAGGTATGATCACCTTAGTTCTGGCCCTGAAAATTGCTGAGAAATTAAAACAGCAGAGTTACAGTCCCTCAACAAACTACTGCCAAGGACTGGAATTTGAGAGTTCATGTTTCTTTACCCCAATCAGTACTGCTAGATGTGACTACTCTCTGAAACTGGGTTTTATTCTGATTTACCTATTGTTTGCTCTTGGTGATTTTTTTATAGCAACTTTTTTTGAGATCTAATTCATGTAGCACATCCTGTTAAAGTTCATTATATATCTACAGAGATATGCAGCCCTCAACACTACTTATTTTTAAAACATGTTTTTATCCTCAAAAGAAACTTTGTACTGTTTCTCCTCCAGCTGTGGCAAACACTAATCTACTTTGTATCTTTGTGGATTTGCCTATTCTGGACAGTTCATATAAGTGGAATCATAATATATGGCCCCTTGTGATTAATCTCTTTTGTTTAACATGATTTTCAAATCCGTGTTGTACCATGTATCAGTACTCATTCTTTTTTATGGATAAATAATATTCTATTATTTCGTAAAACACATTTCATCTTTTTATCAGTTTGATAGACATTTGACTTTTTCTGTGCTTTTTTTGTCTATCATGAGTAAAGTTGTCATGAACATTTATTTATACATCTTTTTGTAAATTCTTTCCTATCTTTTGAATATATAACAAAAGTTTTATATTCTTCCATTATATGTGGGTTGTCCTTTCATTTTCTTGATGATGTCATTTAAAACACAAATGTTTTTTGATGTTCAGTTTATTTTTATGCAAATTTTACTCAATATTGAATAGCATAATTCCTCTTATGTTAATATATCTCTATGGGTATTTTATGATTTTTTTTCTCCTTAATAAACTTTGGCCATCATGATATTTGTTATATATTATTGTCAAGCTTCTCATCAGCATTAGTTACCCAAACATCTGTCTGTTTCTAATAATAAAACGTTGAAGATGGCTTTTATGACAGTCCTTATTATAATGTATTTTCAATTCTTTGTTGTTATTAAAGACAAAATTTGGTTTGTATGCTAGAGAATTCTGGGATTTAAGTGTAGGAAGCTGAGAAAGGATACGAAGAGAAAAAAACCTCATTGGCTAATCAGTATCACTTTCCATTATTTCCTGCATAAATGATGTCTATAGCTATTATCATTCTCTCCTTCCCTCTCAAGCTGAGGAATTTTGCTTTTATTCTGAGATTTAAAATGAAAGCACTGACATAACCAATAAAATATTTTAACATTTTGATTTTATGACAAGGATAATGAAAACCTATGTATGTGTTTGCTATTGTTGGGATGCAAAAAAGGCTTACAGAAACTTTATTTTATGTAAAATCTAGTTTAAAAGATAACAGCTAACATTTATTTAGTATTTATGTGCCAAGGAAAAGAGCTTTACATTGTCTGAATGAATGTGCACAACTTTTAAAAAAGATAATAAAACGTTCTTACTTTCACATGTGAGGAAACTGAGGGATAGGGAAGTAACTTGCTGTCTTAGTTTGAGCTGCTGTAACAAAATAGCATGAACTAGGTAGCTTATGAACAACAGAAATGTATTTCCTGGAGGCTGCAAAGTTCAGATCAAGGCACCAGCAAATTTGGTATCTGTTAAGGATCTACTTCTTCATAATAAGATAAAAAAGGTTGCCCTGTTGTAATGTTGCTTACTCTTTAGTTATCATATATTTCAGATCTCAGTGGGAAATGGAGAAGCATGATCTGGAAAGCACAATTAAAACATATTTAAGCAAACTGAATGCAGAAACTAGCAGAGCCTTAACGGCTGAGGTAAAAAATAAAAATTGGGGATGGGGTTAAAGAAGGAAGTTTTAGTTATGTACTACTATTATACTAAAGAATTGGAAAAAAACCTGATGTTTAAATTAACAGAAATAAGACATCTTAGAACAAGCTAAGTAAACATATCCCAGACTCTTGTACTTTTTAAACTTTTATTGTGTATTGTGCATATTGTGTATAAATACTTCAGTGTTTATGATCTTATGTTGTTTTCCTTTGATGACTCCAAGAAATTGGTCATTGCAGGATGTAGAGCAGATGTAGATACCTTGAAAAAATTCTCATGAAGCAAGGTCACTAAGCCAAACTTTCAAAGAATATTTCATTGCTGCTGTAATATCTCCTTTCTCTGCTATTTCCTATATTAGATCTTCCAACAATACATATACATTAAATAACCCAATGTGAAAAATCAATTTAGTTTCCAGGCTGCTAGAAAGTCACCCAGTTTCTTGTAAGTTAGTTTAGAGCACCACACAGGTAGGATCTCTCAAAAGAAGTATGATGTATATGTGTATGTAGTTTATATTTATAGATAATAAACTTGATATACAATAAGATTGATATTTTTGGAGAATCTATGATAATAAAAGCATTATATACCTTCCCACCTGTGTCACTGGTAAGTTTTATTCTCTAGCAGAATAGTTGAATTCCAGAATTCAGTCACCAATGACTGATATCTGAATGAAAAACCCATGGAACTAGTTTTGAAGTACTAGTTTTAACAAAAGAAAAGCCCACAGTACTTTAAAAGCTCCTTTGTATTCTTTGTGTTTTACTGCCTTTGATCAAGTTTCTTTTTGCTTCCATTATTAATTTTAGAGAAGAGGAACTTTCTAACACTTACTTCTGTCCAATAGTATAATTTTTAATGAGTGATTAGTAGTAAAAAAACAGGCTAAATGATTGTACATCAGTAATAATTTGAAAGGATTCCTGATATGGGAGAAATTGATATTAGTCCAGATGATTTCCAAGGCCCATTTAGACTATACTATATCTTTCTATGTGTTCTGAATTTCTGACCTCTTCATCAAGAGAAAAAAATAGATGTTAGAATTTCTTTAGATTATTCTCAAACTTTGCTGCATATTAGTTTAGTAGTTTTTGAAAGCTACCAGTATTAAAATTGTAATGCACAGGCTATGCCCATTCTCAATTAAATTAGAATCTCTAGGACCAAGATATCATTTTGTTACATCTCTGACATGATTCTAGTATGTGTACAAGTTTGAAAAATAATGTTCTAAAATGTTTACTAATCCAGTGACTATTCAATATGAAAATTAGAATTGTATGATTACATTGATTGAAAAGCATTCATAATATATTTTTAATGGTTAGAAGTCCAGGTGTTGTTGAGGCAGACTGAAAAATAACTTAAAATATACTTGACATATAATAACTTAAAATATACTTGGGAAGAAATGTTCACTTACAAGGACACCTTTAACTTTTTTCTCTTTCTCTCAAAAATCTACAGGTGTATTTCTTACAGTGCCGTAGAGACTTTGGATTGCTTCATCTAGAGCAGACTGAAAAAGAATGCCTCAGTCAGCTTTCTAGGGTGACTCACATGGCAGCAAGGTAATGTTTCCCTCCACCTTAATGCATCTCGAATATCACCAAGGTTGAACATATCCTGTGATGTGATTTATATATAGCACAACATAGTCTTTGAGTGAAGAAACTCTTGTTTTTTTATACATCAGAAGTTAGTTTAGTCACTTTGGCGTTTGTACCTTGTTGCTTCTGATGAAGTACTGAGAAGCAGTGAATTTAGTGATAGCTGCTGAAAGACTTTTCCTTTTTTCCACAGTGAAATATATCAAAATTCTTAGGGACATGCATTAGGACCATATATTTACAAACAAAGATGAATTTTTATTGGGATTTTTTTCTAATTGTTTTTCCTTCTAATATTTGATTTAATTATTTTTGGACTATACTGAGTAAAAATCATTATTAATACTTTAAATCGCATGTTAAAGACCGTTTCCAATTATGCTGTGTGCGTAATTTTCAAATATTGGACAAGTGGCATGAAATTTTCCATATATTTGTAATCTGATGGGCTCTATCTTCAAAATTAAACACAAATTAGAATCTCTGGGACCAAAGTACCATTATTTTTTAATGAGTATCATTTTAATGATTATTATTGTTCTTTTAATTCTAAAGAATCAGAACATGATGCTTAGCAAGATTCCCAGCATATATAGATGTACATTCAAGTTAAGGAAATACTGCTGTAAGGGAAGAGTATTTCTTTACTTGTTAGAAGGAGAAATGCAATATTAAGCTTTGTTTTATGAGATGATTGTAAGTGATAATTTGTCCTGGACTTTTAAAATTCTTAAGCTAGGTTATACAGGTATAGCAGGGTTCTAACAGATAGACCTTTTGAAAAGACCTTTTGACCATGTGAAGTCTCCTCTAGAAATGATAGATCCTATAGACTTCAAAGTTGTGCATACTTTAGTTATGTGTTAGACATGGCTTGATGGAGCTACTGTGTTTGTGTAATTTAGGCACTGTACAAAGAATCTCATTTGTCCTCACAAAGGAGGTACTTGTTTCTAGTTTGCTTTCTTGCGGGCAATATCTTCATATAATTCACAAAGGAACCAGATGGATCAACTGTGGCTCTTTTATGTCAGAGTTAATATAAGGATAATCCAAAAACTACTTCCAAGATAGGTCAACACTTTTGAGACTGCCCCTGCATTGGATGCCTAAGGGAATTTTCCTGTTTGGCTTTTTCTACTTCCCTACTACATTGGAGATATTATATATATATGTATTCCATATACATATTCCATACGTAAGTTCCATATATATTCCATACATATATTCATATATAGATATGTGTGTGTATATATTGCCAAGATAGAAAAAAAAGTTGGTATTCTGAAAGCCTAAGTTGTATTTTTTCTTAAAAAAAGAATTCTTATATATTACTAGCTTTTGTTATTGTTTTTATTAATAAGCCCTGCCATGCATTGGCCCCATTTGAGGTTATTTGTTGATGACAGAGGTAATTTTATTGTTTTATTTTATTTACATGTATGCTAGGGATAATGGAAATTTTGGAAACTTTAGTATATTATAAAAAGAAGAGCTTACTTTGTATCTCCTTTTTCTACACTAGCAGCCTAGAATCACTTCAATTAAAGGCTGCAGTAGATAGTTGGAATTCTATTGTGGCGGATGTTAGAAACAAGATTGCAATCCTCAGGGTAAGTCTTGAAGTATACTTAGAGTAAATAGGCTGAATGTTATGGCTAGTATATAATTAAAGAAGACATGTAATGTTAAAAGCAATTAGGAAAACTTAAGGAAGAACATGTTTTATTCATTTCATTTATCAAAGTTTATGCCTCCATAAAATCACTTGCATGTAATTGATGGTAGATAGTATCCTTGACTCACATGTGTGGCCTTTTAGATCCTTTGTCCAGTAAATAATGAACTCAAGTATTGTGCTTTACCAAGCTTTCCTAGAATTTCAAAGTTAACTACACTATGATCAAAGATGTCACATCTAGTCTGAATAATGTGTTTACAGAATTAAAAGGAATATTAATTAGTCCTGTGTTAATATTCAGTCTTAACTTTTTATGTAATTATTCTATAATGCAGAGTAATACTTAATTATTGGTTTAATTGAATCAGATCCATGCTGAAGGTATCTAAAGAGGTAACTCACTGATGATTTATTAACTTGGCTTTAGAATCTTTTATATATAATGTTAATATGTAATTGTAATTATTTTGTGACTTTATAACACTACCTGAAAAAAAGCAATGATGCTCTATTGTGAAGAGCTGCCTGAAAATACCACAGATTTATCCAACATATTCCTTGGTAGTTTTGACTATTTCTTCCCAGTCTCTTTTTTACTCAGTTTTTAGTGATGCTTAAGATTTCTGTTTTGTTTATTTGAATCTTGAAAGAGCTGTCCCTGTTCCTTACCCTTATTTTCTCCCAAGTGTGTATCTTCTGTGGAAAATTTTCTAAATATTTTAATTTATAGCTCTTGTGTGTTGTTGATTAAATAGTATGGTAAAATAAAATGGGCACAGTGCCAAAAATGTTGAAAATACGGTGTTAAGCTTTCAGAATTTTTTGGCAAAATCTCATCCCAAAGAAATTTTGAATTATGTGTCACTATTTCTTATTAATCAACAAACACTTCTAAAAAATACAGATTATTTACATGTGTAGATAGTGGTCTATTGAATTGGTTTAATATGAGAAACTGTTTTTATGTCATTTCTGTCAGCAAGTTGAGTGACACTGTTCTATGTTGTATTATTTTAAACAACATAAAGTATTCCTATGTACTGTTTCTTTAAAGTTGATTGTACTCTAAGATTTTTTTCTCTTCTATCAGACACAGTACAATGAACAAATCAACAAGGTGAAGCAAGGATTTCCCTTGAGTAGCTTGCCTCCAATCCAGCTTCCTCCACCACCGCCCAGTCCTGAGTTACTGGTAAGAAACATGCCAGTTTAGAAAATAGCCATCTTTGTTTTAATAAAATGGTAATGGTTTGAAACACTGAATATACAATGTGTTTCACCTATATTCAAAAGGAAATAGGCATATATTGTGAGTACAAGTGCAGTCATATCTTTACCTGCCAATATAATTAGCAGATGGTAGTCACCAGATGATTCAATTAGTGACTGGATCAACTAAGGCCAATATAGTAGGTTCTGTCCCTGGGTTTTAGTGATGCATTTGATATCTAAAGAGTAGTATTCCTCATTTATTTTCTCAATCCCACCTACATTGTGGAAGATAACTAATGAATACACACAATTCCAGTTTTCCTCATGTTACCACTATGTAACTGAAACAGTGCAGCAATATCCTAGAAGGCATTTCCTGGGGATTTAGTCCCCTCCACCTCCACTTCACCCTTAGACTTTCCTTTCCTTTCCTTTTTCTTTTTTTTAAATTCTAGTCTATTTTCAACAGCAAAGACAGCTTCCATTTATTTCCCTTCTCTAATCTTTGTTAGGTACCAGTGGATTTAATCAGATATACTGGCCTTTGTTCTATACTGTTTATTACCCTTATGGGAAACATAGTATCTTAACTCAGGTAACTTAATACAAGTTTCCAGAATAACTTTTTGAAGGATACCATTAAGTGATAACTTTTATTATCATGACAGATCTAAATGTTGGAAAGGGAAGGTGCAAGATATGTGGAAGCAGATCACTTTTGGTGTTAGCACTCCTGCTTGTAGTAGAACTCTGAAAATGTTATTTCTACTCATGGTTGAGTATAACAAAGAACTTAAAAGTGTGAATTGTGTGGCCTTACACTGTGTAGTTCAAAAGTAGAATCCAGGGCTAAAAGAGTTACATGAGGTTTAGTTTAGAAGAATAGCACTGCCTTTTATGATTTTGGTTGATTCAAATTCTATTAAGCACTGTTTTGTTAATATTGTCTAGTTGTTGAGCATCATCATACCCAGAATATGTTAAGTAGCTGATAGAAAAATCCCAAAGATTGCCTGTTACAGGAAGCAACACATATTTTTGGTAGGATTTCAAAAACCCTATAACTTCTGCCCATATTCAAAATACTGCTGTTCACAGATTATGGTCTACCTTTCCCATGATTCTAAATGTAAAATAGTTCCAGAGACTGAGGTGGTAGGTACAGAATTGTTTTCTTAGAGTTTTCTGGAATCAGACCACAATAATCCTTGGCTAGTAGACATGAGTGATACCCTACAATTCAAAAAGCAGAATCAAACCTTGCCCTCAAGGCCCTTTAGGCCTTTATCACATGAAAAGGGACTTTAACCTATGTGGCTTACCTAAGTTTAGTAAAAGCCAAAAACCCCTTGCATTAGGTTCTGGTGGTGTTTATACCATGGAAATACACTAAAGAGTACTGAGTTTAGGTACTACCTCTGTGAAGAGGTATGCCTGTCTTAGGAAAATTAACCATCCTGAACTTTAGTTTACCATCAATTAATTAGAAAATTGTTGTAGATGGTCTGATCGCTAAAGTCCCATCTGTCTCAGAGGTTCTAGTGTCCTATAGAATGATCACAATACTATAAATGTACAGAGGTCTAACCTGAGAAGTCAGGGATAATGGGACTCCTGTTTCAGTATTTTTACGTGTTTTATTATATCTTGATTCCTGTACTCTGGCTATTTAATTCTCAAAGAAATGTTAGAAAATACTGATTCTCAAAGAGAATAGGACTGTTGACTCAGTACCCACCATTTATTTATTCTTTAAAAGCTTTGTATTATGAAAAATTTAAAACATATAAAGAAACAGTGTACTAAACCTCCACAATCCCAAGAGCCAGGTTCAACATATCAGCATTTTGACCATCTTGTTTTAAGTTATCCCCTCTTCCTTTCCACTGGAATATGTTAAAACAAACCTAAGACATCATAATTTCATCCATTTATGCTTTAGGATATATCTTAAAAGAAGAGAAGCTCTTACTGGACATAGTCATGCACTATTATGTTACCTAAGAAAATTATACCTGAGCCCGCTGCAGACAGGCAGGTCTACAGACACAGTCCCGAGGTCGCCAGTCCCAATGAAAACACCAAATCAGCCCGTGCCCAAGCAGCAATCCACTGGACACCGCCCGTTCTCCTTTGGCCTCTTCTCTGTACAGCCACCTAGTTCCACACTACAAAGATGCAGAGGACACCCCAGACCACCAGACCACTGTACTGGAGCTAATCAAGTTCTCAGGATTTAAAGAATTCCTGCCCAGAGGTAAGGGCTTCTGAGCCACCATCCGACTGCTCCTGGTCCAGAGGAAGGAGCTGCCCGGCCACCATCCATCCCACCACTCCCAGGCCAGAGGAAAGGGCTTTGGGGCTGCCGTCCATCCCAGAGCTCCCGGCCCAGAGGTAGGGACTTCTGAGCCATGGTCCCACTGCTCCTGGTGCAGACAAAGGGGCTTCCGGGCCACCAAACGTACTGCCGCTCCCGGCCCAGAGAGAGGAAGGGGCTTTCGGGCCACCATCCCTACCACCACTCCCGGCACTTGGCCCATCTCTCCTAGCTCAGAGGAGGTGAGCCGTGCAGACGCCAACAGCACCCCCTCTGCCCCCACAGTCTAAATGAGAAAACACGTACATAAGTCTCAAAACCAGACTTCCAGATCACCTACAGCCACCCCAAAGGGAAATGAGATGGAACCCTCTGATACTCAACCACCTGGACCCACTGAACTGCCAACAAAAGGGAATCTGGAAAAAATGAAATCAGAAATAATTTCTCAGATAACAGGAGAAATTGTGCTCCTAGTG